TGATATTCCTGTGCTCTAAGACAGTGTGCATGTGATGTGTTTGCCTCAGAGATTAAAATTTAAATACATAGAGAGAGCAAAACATGAAGTTGCCTGCTGCATATTGCTTCTGCAATGTTGGCTACAGGCCCACAAAAAACGTCTGCTACCTCAGTTCATATTGATGTTTCCATACTTACTGTGCTGAATGAGGCCCCTGGGGACACATTCTTTGCACTTCAGAGAAGCTCTGAAGAATGAGGATAAATCCATTGCTTCTGTTCACGCTGACTGATACTTGTTCTGCAAATGAGACAGACAGGGCTTTGAGATTTTTTGTTGCTGTTGCGTTAATTGGATGTGTTTCATTTTGCAGTACTTCCTTGGCTTAAGTGACATGACTGCTTCTCAGAGCAGAACTATCCGTGTCTAACATTAGACTATGTTCAGCTCTTTTTAGTTGCAAGGACATGATGTGCAGTAACCTTTAGCACTGGTTTGAAAGCATTTCTAGTCAAGAAGGAAAATGTTGGTCTATTCATTTTGTTCATTAATATATCCTCCGTTATATCCTATACAGCTCTAAAAAGAGATCTACCTGTAGAAAGTGTTAGAATAGTCATGGGCCAGAGAAACAGATCTTGGAAATAATTTAAATTGCCTAAGTCCAAACAAGAGAGCCTGATAACTGCATGCCTGATTCCTAGTCTTATAGCTATATCAGAAATATAGGTGTTTTCATTTTTGGCCAGAAATTTCCAAGACATCTGTTTTGTGGAGACCAAGATGTCCTGATGGGCACTTTAGCTCGCTTTCATCCATGAAAACAGGCATTTTTCTATTCATATGCTGCAAGTGGTTCAGTTTCTAGTTACACTCTGAAAAAGCAAACAGTAGCTAACTAATTTCTGTTTTTTTATCCACGTTCAAACAATCATACAAATAACTCAGGTTGATTTTTGGTCTTGACGTAGGAGAATTTGAATGCTTTCATCTCAGGTTCATCTCTGGGATGCTTCACCTGACACAGAGGCTTATTCTTTTCCTCAGTGTTTAGCTATCTCTGAGTGGCTTTCTGGAAAGCAAGTAGGAATGAAAAAGATTTCTTTGAAGCTATACTATCTATGCATCTACTGGCCCTTCCCAGTAGCTTCCACTTCATTCATTTCAACCATATTTGATAGGTTGTGATGATGTTCTGTTTGACAAAGATATTACAATCCCATGAGTATCATGAAAATTGGTATCTTGGAAAGAACCAAAGGCTGCTCATAATTACTGCAATTACATTTGTTGTTTTCTTAGTTATTCAGGGAAAATAAGGGAATGGAAAAGAATAATTTACCATTTACCAACATTAACAATGCCTACCAATATAGAATGATAATGTTTCTGCTCTCTGAAGAAAGTAAAACTCAAGAAAGAGGGGGCAGTTTGCTGACAGTGGATAATAACAGTGCTGAAAATTCAGTTTAATTATTAAGTTTCTTATGTTAATTGACATAACACATCAGAAAACAATTGACACAAATCATGTTTGGTATAGGGCATGCATCTTCATAACCAGCATGTTGGAAGAAAACAGCATTTAGGACTCTAAAACTGTTGTGTCCTATTTAGTACAAAACAAAATATAGAAGACAGATTAAAGAAGATCTTGAGCATCCATCACAGAAGTTGCAGCAAAACAGTTTATTAAAGGCTTTTGCATAGATGCAGATGCCTGATTCAAGCAAGTACCTTGTTAAATGAACAGAATACAGGCACACATACAGTATCAGTGAAGTAAAACTGAGAGAATATCAAGCAGAAACCCAGAAAAGACGGACTTGTTAACATTATGACAGATAAGTCATTTAAAGCTAGGTGAACTTCCTATTATTGCAGAAATGGAAAGAAACTGAAAATGCACCCTGAAAATTTTTCATCTCTGTAGAATTCCAAAGTATGCGCCAAAATGAGCTCTAAAATTACCATAAGTAAATAAATAAATCAGATTAGCAGGGTGGGATATTGACATGCAGATGGACTCCTGGAGTTTTCCAATGTGTTCATAAAGATGGTCACTATTTCATATTTCTTGAGAATCCTAATGCTCACATTTTCTAATTTTTGAGATGACAGTTACTATATTTAAAAAAAAAAAAAAAAAAAAAAAAAAGGGGAGGAAACATGTCCTGATATTCTCCTTCCCCAACTCTTTTTCATGTGTTTTCCGTATTTTTTTTTCATATTTCTTATTTTGAAAGGCCTGACTTAAAACTGGTTCTTGATTTTTACCTAACCAATAGTATAAAGACTAGAGGGATATCTTCCCCCCTAAGGACTTAGAGTAGAAACATTTCTTCAGTTGTCATGGATACATCTTTTTCTGATAAGTGTCTGCCAGAGTTTTTTTCATTAAATTTGTGTTAAAAATACATAGGAGCTATGATTTGTAAACAGTGTGGCTTAATATATTTATAAAGTTCAGCTGTGTTGGTTTTATCTCACTGTTTCATATAGTTAGCTTCCTGCTCGTTCATCAGTCATCTATTGTGTCTTAGAAGGTGACAGAATTTATGATGTTATAAAAATCTAAAAGAAGTTAAAAAAAAAAAAAATCTTTAAAATGTGCAAGGAAATACAAAATCCCTCTCTGTGCTTTCTATGTGGATTGTACAAAAAAAAAAAAAAAGCCCTCAGAAACTGTATTATGTTGCTTTACCTTCCTTCAGGACGTTTTCACAAGAAATCAGTTGCATGTGTTTGTAAAAATCCCACTTTAAAAATTAGCTTTGTGACCCCTTTATACTTAAAAATGTTCATCAGCTCTACGTGAAGAGAAGCAAATTGTGTCTGTAGAGGTGACTGGTGATAGGTTTACAAATGAATTAGACATTAAGATGAAATGGAAGGTGGATAAGAGAAAAGGAAACATTTTGGAGAAGAAAAGCACTGTTACAACAGAGAAACGTACTAACTGAAGGGAGAAAGATGTTGATGAGGTCAGATAAAAACTGTACTCATTATAATGTGCTACTTTTAGTTTCCCTTTTCCTACTTTGCTGTCCACGTCTCTTCCAGATTTTCTGTTTCTTTCCTTCCATCTGTCAGAGCAGAACTGGATTTTTCATGTCTATGTATTAATGTTGCTCTGGCTGTTTCTAGCAGAATTGAAAAAAAAACCCACTGCTAAACTTTTCCTACTTTCAGTAAGTGGAAGTAACATTGCCCCAGGCTCAACGCCAATTAGAGTCCAGAGATTTCCTTTTCTACCACAGTGTGTGATGTTGTAACACTTGAGCAGATATTTATATATTTTTGCCTTGCAAAACATTTTGTAGATATTAAAGAGGTATTCTCTCCTAAAATCTTTCTTAGTATCTGTGAAACTGTTTGGACCAAGAATTTTCAATAATTATTCAATCTATAAATACATTTTATGGGCTTTTACTTCTACTACTACAGAGCAAGCATGGACTTTGAGACAAATAATAGTTTGATGATAATTCAGTTCAACTACTTGATGCCACCATCTGCCAGAATAATATTTTCCACAGTCTAAAACTTCATGGAAATCATCAGTGTATTAGCAATACTGAGATAAAAAAATTGAGTGTCTGTGCCAAACTTTGAGACCGTTAAGTCACATCTACTGAGCACCTGACTCCCTGAGGTTGGTCTCTCTGTGTTTGAGGTCTCTTTGTGGTACGGTTTCAGAACAGCACTGCAGCCCGTTTTGAACTGTATGCCAGGATGTCGAGATTTGCAGTCGCACCGCAGCACTGTACTCAACAACAGCTGAACGTACAGGAGTGAGACTGAGGATAAGTGGAGATAAAACAGCCTTGGCACTGCTGTTTAAAGCCTGTAATGAAGGCTTTTGCATTGCTGCCTTTTGCTCCGTAGTGGTAGTGTCTCCTGCTTCTCCAGCATCGCTGACTGCGTACATCATCTCTGCAGCAGGACAGCCCCAAGCCTCCCCTTCTGTGTGACAGACGGGGTGCTGATGGAGCAAAGAAGCAATCTGCCTCCACAAGAAGAGGCAACCTGGTCCCAGCAAGCAGAGGTGGGCTCTCACTCCTACTCCTGACTCTGCTGTCAGACTCTCACGCACCTCTGTTGATTCCTCAGCTTCTCCTGCCCACGTTCAGCTGGGCTGCACAGTCTATGCAGTGGCTGTGTCTGGATCCTGGTATCTACAGTTGCTGGCACCCAGACATATAAGCCTTCAAGGCTGCAGCCCCAGCCAAATGCTGGTACAGATCCCTCACCAACAAGTCCAACTTCATTTTCAGTAACGTTCAGGCGCTCTATTTGGGCTCTCTGTTCTGACCTTGTCTCTCTGTGCTCCTTTGTGGGTGTGCAGATGGGCTTTTATCACACATTCTAACATGCCCTGCAAAGAAGTATGCCTGCAGTCTGAAGCTAAATAAACTGATCAGAATTTAACACAAAATTGTACAGTTGTAGCACATGAATTGATCATGGTTAATAGTAATTGCAATTAGAAATAAGTAAGGGAACTCAGTAAAGACAAATACATGCATGTACTTGCTAAGAAAATTAGTCGAGGTGATCACAGCATTGAAGAGTAGTTGTGTTCATTATAGCCAAATCCTGCCTCCTCCTGAAATCTGTTTGGGTCTGACCTCTGATGCACAGCTTTGTAGCAGACGGTACAGGAATGTTTTTTTCTTTTAAGTTTTCTGAATAGCTTTTGCTTTGTTCAGCCTAGTCAGTAGCACATGGGGGATACTATTAAAGCACTCAATTCCAATTATCCTGATAAAGAGAAACATAATTCGAGTGTGATGGGGAAAATATGATTTGATTCTCTTAGAAAGACAGATCTTACACATTAGAAAGTGATGAGATGCGAGGTGTTGTGGTCGCTAAATCAAGTAACATTTGCTTTCTGCTGGTTTTTGGCTCACCATGCTTATCCTTTTTTAACATACCAAATTAATATTTTTGCATTTTGAATTTAGCTAATGAGTGTGCCTCAGGCTTCTCCATGCTTCTTACAGGCCTGCGTAGGGAAGGGGATTGCACAACACCTCTTGCCTGTCAGAAGATCTGGTGGTGGCGAACCAGTGTAGGCATGCCAGAGCTGCTAGGACAAGCAAGTGGGTCTTCATGCATCTGTGGTGAAGCAAGCAAAGATCAACTAAAAAGTTGAAAGCTGTCGAAAATAGCACCATTCACATCCACAAGCATCTATTTTAAATAGAATAGAGATTGCTCAATTGATCCAGGAATCGATTATCATTGTAGGAGCTGTCCTTCTTTCTAGATTTCCAAAAGCTCAGTTTTAAATGTAACACGGTCTTCTACTCCATGACATGGATAAGGGAATAAAATATTTTTAAACAGAGTTTAAGGATGGTGCAATAAAAAGATCAGTGGATAGCCAAATGGACAGAGCAGTCATATGGAGAAATCTTTTTTCCTTGGCTACTTGAAGTGTGTTACTACTCAGATTTAGTTTCACTTATATTAAAATTAAGTCTATAGTAATTTTTTTGTCTTTATTCTTTCAATTTTATTAATTTTATATTATTAATATTTATTTTAATTTGATCTTTTAAGTTATATTAAAGTGCCTCTAAGATCAGGCAGCACAGACTGCCTTTGAATGGTTAAAAATCTTAGAAAGCTGTGCAGAAAGCACAGGGATCACAGTGAACCAACAGCTGAACGTGAGAATCTGCTGCAAGTTTTTGATACAATGGGTTAGTCATTTTTACCTTCAGCAGAATGGATGCAAGCAGTCCTGCAGTACTGTGCACTCTTTCATGTCTGTGTTTTGAAGAACTAAAAAATGTCTTTTTAAAAAAAGATGCAGAGAGATGGAAAGATGCTATACAATAAGAAACCTAAGGATCTCAGTCTGTTTAATTTATCAAGAAGAAAATCAAGTGAATGAATAACTTTTCTGAAATGCAATGACAGGTATTAAAAAACTCTTTAATCTTGCTGAGAAAGGCAAAGTAGGGACAGCGCCTCTAAACTGAAGCCAAACCAATTCAAACTAGAGAGGAGAAACACCTTTTTAAGTGACGAAAGCTTAATAATGAAACAGGATATCAAAAAGAATTGGTTATTTCTCAGTCAGACATCATGACTAGATTCTTTTATTTTGGGGAGCTATGGTTTAGCCAAGCTTACATTCTGCTTAAGAACAACACAAATGACTTGACTTCACATGAGGACATTTGTGTGAAATGCAGTAGTTGGTGATGTACAGGCGATCTGATTAAAATCAGGTCTGGTTTAAGGCTACTGTTGTCTTAAGGTCAGTGATTCTCCTGTATGCTAAACTGACTTGACTTAAGAATGCTAAAATGCATTGTAGAGACGATTGGAAGCCTGACTTGATGTGTTCCCACAGGAAACGAGGTGATTGCAGTAGACTGGAAGGGACTGAAAGATGTGGACCAAATCAATATGGACAGCACCAGTTCACTACATGGCAGCAGCTTCCATCGTCCTTCTACTGAGGTGAGTGCTTGCCCCAGATACACTTATCCAAGGAGATTGAAAAATTTCAGTTCCTTCTGTGTTCAGAAATGTGTGCTGTGCATCACTGGGATCATCTCGGAGAGGACAAGAGTGTTAATACACACCCAAGGATGCAGTTTGGTTTGTTTAGAATAGAGTTGAGTCATTCTGTATAGATTATCTAGAGTGAGTAAGAGTTGCAAATGAAAGTACTTTTAACCACTGACAACTGGGGTAGATAGAATATGAATAAAACTGTGGCAGTTGTGGCAAACCTGTAGGTCTGCATTCCTTGAATGATGGATTTACTAAAATGCTCAACACCATGGCTCTACAGCCATACCATGTTTTGAAGAAATGTGTTTGTCTCCATTTTGATATTTAGGAATTTATTCACTAGTAATTCACTGCCAGTTGATTTACCATTTAGTACCTCAATGTCTGACTCATTTCCTGTTCTGAATTAGTGCAGCTTAGGTACCTGAATTTTCAGCTCGGTAAGGTTCAGGGCAGGCAGTCATGATTAGTAAAAATATTAAACTGTTTCAAACAAATAACATTTTGAAAATCACAGATAATGTTCATAAATAACATACAGTTTAGATAATCTGATGAAGTGCCAGCATGTAGGTATTTTATTTCCTTATTACACTGGAACGCAGCTCTAAGAAACTGGGAGTTTTATGAAATCCTGATAGAAATTGTGGGGCACAACCTTGTATGGAAAACTCAGTTGAAGTTTAACACAGATCTATAACTCATTGAACATGAACTCTATCTCATGGATCATTTATGTTCGTAGGAATAGTTATTATGACTAAAATTTATTCATCTAAATCTTCCTGCGTGCTCACATCACAAAACCAAGATGTTGAGATGTGAGCCCTCCCAGCTGAGGGAAATGCACTATGAATTGCTACTGTACTGACTGGTAAGGAAAATGGATCTGGTTTGCAAATAAAAACTGGATCAGAGTGGACAAACTGAAAGATTACAAGAGAAAATAATTTCTGGAGAAAATCAGTCTGTAACTTGTTATATTATGCTAAAAATACATAGGTAGTGTGGCTCCTCCTTGTGTTAGCCTCGGAGGGATGCACCACCCACACAAGGTTGCCAGTGTTGGTTATTTAGCAAAGAAGTTAGAAGGGGAGTCTTAGCAAAAGGTGTTCGTATTTCTCTCTCCCTTAGACTGTTTATCATCATGTTTACTTGTATACCTTCAAGCACCATGGCACTACAGACACCACAATCAACAGCAAGGAACCAGTCTGGATGTGGTGCTCGGGGATGTGATTTAGCAGCAGGTTGTTAAAGTTAAGGTAGTACGGTTAGGTTGCGGTTGGACTTGGTGATCTTTAAGGTCTTTTCCAACCTGAGTGATTCTATGATTCTATTCTATGAATGAAGCCAGATTGAAAGACACATTGTTTAATTCCCCAGGTAAAATAGAGGCTGTTAATTATCACTAACTACTAGAGAGGTGCATGACAATTTGCAGCTTGTTTGTTTCACTAACACAATGTCCTTTTTTGCTTTCTTCAGCAAACACGGACAGATTTCTCCTGGGATGGTATCAATGTGAGTGTGTGCCATACTACTGTTCACATTTCTAGTCATAGGATATAGTGGCAGTGATGATGGAAACATGACATGGAAACATGTTTTGAAAGTCTTAACTGAAATTCTGAGCGTTGTTTAAGATTCACAGGATGCTGCTGAAATTTTGTTTGCTTTTGCTGTCTGGCGGGTATTTAGATCTGGCCATTATCTTGCCTTTCTCCTTTTGAGACAAATATGTGTCATTTCTGATGTTCTCTTTGTGAGATTTCTGGACGCTGTTAGATAAAAAGGGAAGTATACCTAGCGTGTTTTAAAAACCCGTAGTCTTTAATTAGAGCATCATTTGATCTTTTTCAGGAGTTTGTAGGAAGTGTATTTTATCATTTTCAGCTGTATACAGAAGTAAGGCAATTTTTACTGTCCCCTGAGGGAAACGGTCAGAACCAGTTAACTTCAGTTAACAAGTAGAAGAAGAAACAAGCAAATATTTTAATAATATATGTTCCCTGTTGCTCTTAATACCTACACCATAAAAAAAACATGTTTTTTTTTTCCCCCACTAATATAAAACCAGCATCCTGAAAAGGGAATAGTGTTTATTATTGCTACCAAAATATTCTGCTCTAGTAGATTAAAAAAGGTGTTCAAATAGGTTAGCTTTGATAGTTTGATACTTCGAAAGGTAGAATTAGGGATGCATTTTTGGTAGTGTAAGCATTTTCAAAATCCTGATGCTTTCAAAAGTTTAAAAAGTTTTCTGTGATTTGAGAGCACTTAAGTCACTTAATAACGAGGGGATGTAGTTTTTTAACCAATCCTCATTCTACTGACAGCTCATTCATTGTGGCACTTATAGCTTGGGACTTTTGCCTAGGCTCAGCTAGAGAAAATGTTTGTGGGAAAATTGCAGTGCATTGCAGTAACTGTCCAGAATAAATTTGTCAGATTTTTCCTCACTGCCCTTCTGCCTAGCTGAAAGCAAGGTACACATAGCCATGTTTCCTTAAAGATAATAGAAGACAATTTCCTTATTTGCAATTTCTGATTTTTCCAACCCACTCTGAATCCATGGCACTCTGATTTCTCAAAGTGCCTCTTTCTCTTGCTCGGTGTAATTCTGTATACGTTCTGTATATCTTGATGTCAAAACTGGCTTATGAGTTTCCCTCTCTTTCTTTTCGTTCTTGCCTTCATGCCATAGCTGTCCAGCCTTGGAGTGGTAGAGACCACCTGCAGATACTTTCTATTCTAGTTCATTTTCATGAGGTGGCTCATTTTGAAACAAATGGGCAGATAATGAACCTAGGATGGAATGACCAGAATTAGCATAGCCTGACATTCTTTAACCAGCTTTACCATCAAAAGAGATGGATCATGAAACAAAGGACTATGTTCTCCACTACACCTCTCAATTTTTACTCTTCTTCCTTCACTTCCTGATAGCTTCAGCTCATGTGTTACACACACACGTGTGGCTGCAAAGTTACAGGATGCCTCAACTACTGCATTTATACTCACTTTTCAGAGAAACTTACCTTTCTTAGCTTAGCAATTGGCAGAGATTACATGCAGTTCAGTATCTTTACATTACTTTTCTTTGCCTCTAAGTACTTTACTGCTTACTTACTGCACCTCTCAGTTTTCTTGAGGCCTGTGCCTGTGACTGAACAGTTGCTTTGTGTCAGGATTTAAAATTTCCCATCATGGTCACTACTTTTGAATGTATTTGTGCTTGGATGCCCAGTATGAACATGATGGACTTGAAATGAAGAGCAGAAGCAATGCTTGTTTAGCCCTTATGAAAATATAATCTCAAATGCAATGCCCAGCATCTCTAAGAGGAGACTATTGGATTCATCTTGAGAGATTGTGTTCTGTGATATTTGTGACTGCTGCCTGTACTTGTTATTCAGAGACTGATGATGAACACAGAGAAGAGAGTAAAGGAAATTTAGTAAAATTGTAGATCTCATTTCTATGCTAGAATGAATGAAGAATACACTGATAAAGTCACATTCATTTTTAAGACTATGTAAACTATGTATACAAGAAGAAGTAAATACTGAAACCAGTGCATGAAATAATATCTGTGATGTGATGCATATTTGTGTGTTTTGTTTATCACATTGTCAGCTCTCCATTGTAAGCTTCCTGAATTGTCCATCAACCATGCATTGCCTTTCAAATAAAGAGCTGGAACAGGGCAGCATGTCCATGGAGGATTGGAAGCAGCCGAAGGGAGGCTTCTCACAGCCTGATTCTGCCTTTGCCACTGGCCTTACCTCATTCAGTACCACAGTTATGCAATATCTAATATTAGTTAAATAGCCTCTAATTTTTCCATCCTCTGTTTTGTTGTCTTTTTATTGCTTGCTTCTGCTCTTCATCTTTCCCATACCTTCTGAAATTGTTGAACTGATTTCCATTCACTTTATATTCTCCTTCCTGTATATCATTTCTTCATATTCTTTCTTTTCAGCTCTCCATGGAAGATACAACCTCCATCCTCCCCAAGCTGAAACGTAACTCCAATGCTTATGGGATTGGGGCTTTGGCTAAATCATCTTTCTCTGGTGAGGTCCTTAAAACTTGGGTTTATCTTTGGCAGCTTCTCTCCACAAGCCTTTCTGCCTCTTCCCATAGCTCCCTGTTGCTTTCCCAACTGCTCTCTTCTGACTCATGCGTACTCTAGGCCTTAGAGTAGTTCCACGACCACAGTTCTAGATATATAAATCTCTTAGCTGTTGCACTTTCAAAGAGCAAATTTTGCTTCTCACCATGCACCCCAGCTCTGACATCTTCATTTGTATTCCCTCAAACTGTCTTGGGTTTAACCCCATTTTCTGTTTCTTAGTTTGTTCACTTCCAGGTTTCACCACTCATGCTCAACTCTGTTCTAAATGGATTCTAGGCAAGGAAGGAAATGGCCTTTCATATTTGGGGTTTCTCTTTCCCCCCTGAGAACTAGTCCAAGAAAAGGTGGAGAAACTCTCCTGGAGAGGGATACAGTGAAAGGTGGGATACATCCCAGCCCACCCAACCCAAGGCCTGAACCTAGTCAGGAAAGGAGAGGAGAAATCTCACTTCCAAGAGAGAAAAACAGCGTGGCAGACAGCTCTGGAACTGTGTAATAGCCCTTCCTTGTTTTCTAATGTCTGGTCCCTTAGGGATATCCCGCAGCATGAAGGACCATGTCACAAAGCCAACGGCTATGGGCCAAGGCCGTGTGGCTCACATGATTGAATGGCAAGGTTGGGGTAAAGGTAACAGCCAGCAGCAGCAACATACGCATGAGACGGCACGCAAAGATGCTGATGCCTACTCAGACCTGAGTGACGGCGAAAAGGAGGCCCGGTTCCTTGCAGGTAGCTCTGATTTTTTTTTTTTTTTTTGCATGAGAATTGGGTTAGTTGGGATGTTCCAGAGCAGAATCCCTGATATAATGTGCAGAAACCTGATAAACATACTCAGGAGAAACTCTGGGTGGTTCATATGGCAGATGGAGATGAGAGACTGTGATTAGAATATTCCCAGTGGAATGCAAAGTGGGGAGGGCAAGAGCCAATTGTGAGTGATGGGCATTGCTGAAGTAGAACTAGAATGGAGCAGTGGAACCAGGAGATGCGGTTAAAAAGGGGGATAAGAGATGAAGATGTTCACACATTTCTGCTCTCTGTCCGTGTCTCCTTTGGCACAGGAGTGATGGAGCAATTTGCTATATCAGAGGCGACTCTCATGGCCTGGTCCTCCATGGATGGTGAGGATGTGAGTGTAAACTCAAATCAGGAGAATCCAGCGGGCAACTACTCTGAGAATTATCAGGAACTAATGGAGAGCCAAGGTGAGCTCCAGCACCTCTTGCTAATCTTGAAAAACCTCTCTTTCAGTCTTGGTATTGTGTTACTCTCTTTCCACTTGTCCTTTTTCGTACTGTAGCCTCAAATTCAAGGGCTGAAATCAAAGAAAGCAATCACCTGTTTGCTATCCAAGGAATCTAACATTAACAGAGAGGCTCCAAAGCCCAATTTCTTTGGCTTGTTGGACACGACTGGAAAGCCACCAACTCTTGCAGTCTCTTGTGGATGTAATGAGGTTCATATGCCTGCTGCTTAGAACTGCCTTTCATCTTTGCTCTCCTCCCCTGTAAAGGATTTATCCATGTTGCCCTATACAGTACTATGTACAGACACCCAAGCTATCTGAATGAACCAGCTTGGTCTACATTGTCTAACTATGTTTTGTTTCCCTTCTTTTCCTGCAGAGCACATGGCCCAGACGCAGTATGATAGCTGGCCTCATTCCTACGTCTCACAGGGCATGTATTGCTTAGGTTCATCTGATGCCTGGGAGACCAGCGATCAGTCCCTCATTGCTTCCCCTGCAACTGGCTCCTACTTAGGCCAGAATTTTGATGAATCGCAGACAAACCTTCAGGAAAGTATTTTGATTCAGAGCAGCCTTCTCCAGCAGCAACAGCTGCAGCAACAGCAGCAGGAGCAAAACTTCATCCAGAGCACGGGGCTGGTCCATGTGTGGCCTCTGCAGACTGCGCAGGGTGGAAGTGGCGCTGAATCCAGCACTTACATGGAGGACCACCTTGAGGATAATGGGAACCCACGGCTGGAGAAGGCTCCTCTCCTAAACAAGAAGCCCTCTCCAGAGGAAGATGATGTAGTATGCCGGGACCTGGAATCACTGTCTCCTCGAGAGGAGATGGAACATGCTGCGCTGAGCCGCAAAGTCTCTGATGTTACCTCTTCTGGGGTGCAGTCTTTTGATGAGGAAGAGGGAGAAACAAACAACTAATGGTTTTTGTGAAATTCTCATCACTGCTGAAAAAAGAGTGGGGTGGCAAGGAATGAAATGACAGGGATTATTCTCTCCAGCTCCCCATACTTCCAAGCAGACACACTTTCAGTTTCTGACGTTTAATTATTTTTTTAAACAAGAGGAAAATCTCAAAGTGATTGACACACAAAGACCTCTTCTTTCCCTCTACAATGGACACATATTTTCAATTTTCATTGCTCTGAGCAATGCACCTGAGGTGCTTGGAGAGATCTGGATTGGTAAATCATTTCTAAATCTTTTAAATACAAAGTCTTGGCTCTGGATTCAAACTATTCTGGTATAGGGATATGGCTGATGCAATAGGCTTGATATAGGGAGTGGCTTTGTGGCTAAAATCCATTCTGGCAGAATGGATATTGCTTTGTGGACATGATGTTTTTAATAGAATATATGAATATAGACTGTTTTAAAATGAAGATATGGCTTTACAAATATAGATTGCACTAGTATAGTGATTGTGGCTGCTACAGAGAATAAGGCTGTATTCAATACAGACTGTACTGAGATGAAGGATTCACTGTGTAACCAGATCCTCAATAGCACCTTGATATGAAATTGTAGGCTCAGTGGATACAGACTGCGCTCCATGGGCATGGGCTGTGCTGCAGTACAGATGGCCTGGCTCTGTGTGCATGGCTGTACTGTGGCATGGAGGAATGAGTGCAGATATGTATCTAACCCTGCTCTGAGATACTCACGCTTTGGTTTCTTTGTAGTCTTTAATTTATTTGTTTCTCTCTTTGACATTTCTATCCTCCCAGGAGCTGGCAGGAATGCTGTGTCCTTTTGGCATTGGGCACCGAATACCAGTAGAAAGGACTTTGTCAGCTACTGAGTCAGTCACCAAGAGCTGACTCTTGTGGGGGGCTTGAGAACATGTCCATCTTGGTGCTGCTGCAGCATCCTTATGTCTTTTCCTTTGCCAGCAACATTGGCAGACCAAGAGAGTCTGCAGATCCAGGAATAGCATGTACAGCTATGAGATCACAGATTTCCAGTTTACACTGGAATTTTCAGTTGTTGCTTTTTTTAAAAAAAACTTTTTATATTGCTGTTTAAGTGTTCCTAAAAAAGCAGTTAGTAGTGGTGAAGGCCTGTTCTCCCGTCGTTACTTATTATAAATACTGCACCTTTCCCATTTCTGCCACTCCTTCTGCAGTGCCAAACACAGATGGAGGAAAGGGGCTAGAGACAAAGTTTCTTCCTATTTCTTTCTTCTCCTTGATTATATATTTTTTTTTTCTTTTGTTTTCCTACCTTCAGACAATGTAAATAACAGTCAAAGCTTGGTCTGTTTCTTTTGCCCCATCTCTGCTCTTTTTTTAGGAGTGGAGAAAGCTGATTTTACAAATTTTTTCTATTTTTTGGGGTTCTGGTTTTTTTTTCTTTCTTTTTTATGTTAAAAAAATTACAGTTTGTTGACTGGTGGGAATTTGGTCTCTCACAGTTCCTCACTGTGTTTCTATGGACCTCCTTTTGAAGGGAAAGGACTTTGTAAGGTAACTAAAAAACTGTCTTCTCTTAAGCTTTCACCAGGAAACAAATGGGAACAGAAATAAAAGAAAAAAAATTGTACAAGGCTATTGATTTTGCTAGAGGGCTGAACAGAACAGTGGAAATTACACATGTTGAGTTTTAATTGCAATATCTCTAGGAATGAAGCATCAGCAAAGCATGGGTTTAGATGGGATACTAGATCTGATGAGCTAGAGGGAGGAATTTGCCTGGACGCTGCCATACTGTGCTAGGGGCATCACTTCCTACTTTCTCTGATTCATATCTACTCTGTTCAATTCATCAAGTGTTTGTCTATTCCTCTTCAGGCTTGTATTTTTGGATTACAGGAGAATGATACGTGCTCACTTCCTGATTCAGCTTTAGACTCATCAAGAATGTCTAAGGAGAGTGAAATGTGACCAAAATAGCATCATCAGACGTCAGAGTTCAGACAGCTCCTGGCAAGCAAAGTAGCCTATGTCCAGGAGTTATGAAAAATACAAATGGGACTCTCAGGTAAAACTTTATCCCACTCAGCTTTCTCTCACATTGGCAGCTGTATGAAGAGGGAAGTCTAAGAACTCCCAGGTCTTTCCAGCCCTGACCATTTCAAGAGGATGTCTTCCCTCTCTGTTGTTCTTCTAAAGGAAAAGACCTCTGGGATTTTTAAGTAAGATTGATAATTTGGTGTAGGTAAGAGATAAAAACTTTTGTGACCCTTTTTTTTAGTCAATTTCCTTGGGCTTTCTTAAATCTGTCATAGGAAGTAGCTCTTCTCCTGAATGATGGACTTTCAATTTCTCTGTGCAGATGTTTACACATTCAAGTGCTAACTTCCCTTGGGCAGCAGCACTTGTTAACAGTTCTTTCAGGGTCTCTGCTAGCTCATTTTCCTGAACTGGCTTTGATCTAGTTGTGGATCAGTGCCAGGAAATCACACTAACCAGAGCAGGGGACAGTGCAAGTGCCAAGGGTACCTCAGCAGAGGACAAATGAGGAAGTGTTAGTCTTTTGTTACTTCCTAAAAAAAAAACCAAACCTTCAGGGAAACAGAATAGTCTGGGAAGTTTCTTTGTGGGAGAAGATTTGAGTGGTTTGTTGCTTTTTTCTCATATGCCTCTCCAGAACTAATACGGGTGGTTCACAGTGTTTCAGAGAAGCTTCAGATTATCTTTCCATGTTGTCTATGTGACTGAGACAAGTGGGTCATATTGTCTATGGCTTTTTTCTTTTTTTTTATACTGTGGTATTTAATAAGGCATATAATCAGTGTCTAAAAGATGTGCATTTTCCTCCATGCGAGGGAATGACAGGGAAATATCCACATAGGGAAAAATGTGAAAAAAACAAGAATTGGACTTATGGAAAATTCTGTGGATTTCAATAGTGAGGGAAAACCTATCTAGAGTTTTCTAGACTGTTGAATAGGATATATGCTGTATAATTTCATAACCTGATCTCTAGAAATGTGTAGATAGACTCATTCTTTGTGCAGTCTAATGAGTTTGAGGAGTACTTTGTGAAAACTTTAAAGCTTACGACACTCTATAAAGTTTTTTCATAAAGGTCATGACTGTCTGTGAATGAAATTCCAGCCTATTTCTGAAAGATGAAAAAGGCTATTTTTCACAACCTCTCCACAATCCAGATGATAAATGTATCTGCTTCTCTAATTGAAAGGAACTTGACTGGAGATAGCAGGCCACCCATAATCACTTGCTACTTGAGTAAGCATCCAGAGCTGAACTGGGAAGGTGATTTGAATACACATGAAAGGTTTGTATAACCTGGCCTTTTCTTATGTAATATGCTTGCTGCTTGTGTGTATCCTCTATCAGAGAGAGTTACCTGGAACCTAAAGCACATTTTCCAAAAAAGCCATCATTATATAGTTACCTATTGAAGCATATGGAAGGCACAGGTGCTCTGTGAGCAAAATTTGGCTTCCAGTTCTTTATCCTGGTGAGGGTGGATGAATTGTACAGTGTCCAGCCAAGTGCTCAGAGTGCAGATTGAACAGTGAGGCTGAAAATAGTAAGGAAATGTAAGCTGAGTATACCTGATCTATTGTCAGGGTTGCTTATTTTTGATCAATTATACTGCTTGATTTAAACTCAGAAAATGGAGTGGGGGAGAAATAAGAACATCAGATTGGCAAAATCTTGGCAGATTTGTTATATTAAGATTTGGAACAAGTGCTGGAACCAGCAGCTTTGGGCTGCCCTAATAATGCATGAAAAGTGACTACCTCAGAACATCGGAGATGAGCATGTTTCATCTCTAAGGCATAGTTTCTGGCTCACTTACATGTTGAGGGGGATGTAGGGAATTACTAAGTGGTACATGAATATTCTGTGCTAAAGCCTTGATCAAAGAAAGTAGCTAGGAAAGCGAGGCACCTTAGAACTACTAAGTCATTGGTTTGGGCCTCTACCTTCCTAGCAGCTGTTAATCTTCCCTTTATGACCATTGATGTAATTTGATGAATGTCAGATTATTGCTTAATTGTTCCCTTGCTTCTTTTCAGTGATGGCATCAGAAATGACATAATGCTAGTGCTCCTGTTCCTGTTGTCTTATGACTTAGAGGGAGGGCAGATCTTATTTACTTTACCTAAGATACAATGGAGTGCCCCTGTTTAGGCAGCTCTGGACCGCACCCATCCAGTTCAGTCATATGAGATCTACAGACCCTGCTGTGTTTCACAGGATGAGTTCCTTCCATTCAGGGCCCTGGGATTACAGCGACTCAACAATTTTGCTTGTTTGGTCCAAACCTTAAAGGCAAGAACCATACAAGAGAAGCTTACATAATTTTTTCTTTATAGACACATTTTAAGCACTCTTCACAAGCTTTTTGAGTTTTCTTCAACCCCATTACCTCACACTCTGGGATGGAGAAGTCAATCTGCTTCTTCAGTTTCTGTGCTTCTAAATCAGCAACTTCTGGGAAACCGCTGACAAGTCACCCACTTCCCTTTTCTCTCTTACCCCTTTAAGACTTTAAATCATCTTTCATGGTAAGGTTGAAGCAGAGAACAGAATTTAACCATAACTTTAAGATGATAAAACGGTGAGATGCTGTGAAGGAAGCAGCCCTCTGCCCTGATTGTACTCACCTCCCACAGCCCTTGTGCAGATACTGATAGACAGCTGACCCCACAACAAACCTTTATACTCTACTGCAAAAGGGAAGAGGGAACAGCTGTGAGCAGATGGAGAATGAGCATTATTCTCAGCATCTGGCATTTATATCAGGTTAGGTAAACTGTGAAAGTCCATTTTGAAATTGTATCTCCATGACAAGTCTAAGCTGCCAAAGGAAGCTGTCATGCTTCCTGCCTTTCCTCTCCAACAACTGTATGCTTCTGCTGCCTAAGAAGCATGAGTATTAACATTCATTTGGCTGCTCAGGAACTGGCACCAATGAAAATGAACTCAGTTCCCTATTAAAAAAAGAGTTTCAGCAATTTTAATTGCTTCACTTGGTGAAACATTTTTTTCTGGATGGAATATCCCTTGTTTGTTGTTCAGGCAACTCTATAAACAAATCACCATTTCCCTTAAACTAATTGTTTGACTTTTTTTTTCTTTTCTCTTTTTTTTTTTTTCCCCAAAAAGAAGAACAAGAAAGGAAATAGAAATGAAACCCATTCCAATACCGAGATTATCAGCAACACCAGCTTAAAACTAGAAAAATATAAGTAACAGATTCATTGTGAATTTGATTCCGCTCCCCTGTAGTAATCTGACAGGGAAAGATTGCTATGCCATGGCTCAGGGAAGGAAAAAATAAACAGGGAACATGTTAGCAAAGTAGTGCCTATTAGAACTAAACGTATGTGTAGCACAGCCTACAGTCATTAAAGCACAGTCTCAAATATGAATGCAGGCTGCAAAGTCAACATCAGGTGCCTCTTCTGTATGACAGTTGTTTAGCAGACTAAATAGTAGTGAATCTGCACAGGAACAGAAGAGTAAAACTTGACACCTGTGTCAGAGCAATGTCTTTCTTCATCTCAGAATGCATCTAGAAGCCTGAGCAAGAATTAACTGGGGTGGGAAAGAGGACAGATAGTTATTATGTTAAGAAATGGACACAGGAGACCTGCATTACAACATAAGGGTCTATTTACTTTTTTTCCCAAAATAGGGAAAAAAAGTGGTATCTTCTCTTTGGTAATCAAGAGAAGCTCTATAAATGTCTGTTGTTGGTCCATAAGATGGACCAAGAGAAAAAGGTGGTGGATTGGTTTTTGTTTTGTTTTGTTTTGTTTTTTGTCAGTGCAGATACACAATGCTGGAATTGGAAAAAATTAGTCAGTCCAGGACTCTGAGAAAGAGTATGTTTACTAAAACTGTGGAGACTTGGTTCTTAAAGTTACGAAAACTTGTTCAAGTAAGAAGTCTCTCAGTGCAGATGTCAAAGAACTTATGTACTGATGAGTGGTAGCTGCTGTCTTCTAGAGGAGTTGCAGTGTTCTGTAAAAAGAATGTTATCTGTTTTTATTGGGGATGTTTTGCATGTGCTGGTCTTGTTTCTGCTTTTCCCTAAGGGAGCAAATGTCCGTGCTAGTCAGACAAAAACATCTAAAATGGATTTTCTCCATGTTGGAAACAAGAATATGTGAATGAAGATTTACTTGTAATGAGATAAAATCATCTAGTACATATTTACTAGTTTGCTGGATTCATTTTCATTAGGCATGGAACTCCAGTGATATGTTGGAGGTTAAAAGGTTAGGAACCCTTTTCTAAAGCTCTGCTGAGCTTCCATGGGGCAAATGCAGGTGGGCTTCACTTCTTTTTGGATATTGCATGTGAGCAATGTAGCAAGCCAAAAGCTCTTTCGCAGGCATATATTCTTGTTTGGCTTCATTTTCTCTTCTCTGGTTTGTGGATATTGTGGATTATTGGAGGTCTCTGAGAATCCCTAGACAACATGGTAGGAACTCAGAAGTAATTTCGCAGGGAACATAATTTATCTCTTTTCATATATAGGAGGGTCCAGACTGAGGATCTGGGAGATGCAAGGGTGGTTGATGGGACTCTGGGGTGTCACGGGGAATGCATTCCTGGAGCATGTTTAAAAGTAAGTAAAGGTTTGGGGCTCCAGTTATTGTATTCTTAGTTTCTGAAACTGCTTTATCACGAGCATATGGGACAATGGAAGTTGCAGCAAAGCAATTTTAAGACCAGTCTGTACACATTTTCTGTAGGGGAAGGCTGCATGGTGATTATTTGTATTCTTTCAAATTAGTGTTTACAGAGATGCATTAATGTTTGGTGGGAAAGTATGGAATGAATGGAAGTAAAACGAAAAGAGGAAGAGGTCCACTATTGTAAGCTTTCATCCCTACCTAGCCCTTAACGATGATTTATTTGCCTTTGGTCTTCCAGCTCCAAAACATGTTTGCCTGAAAAGTTTTGTTGAATATACTTCGCATGTTTTGATAATGTGACTTATGAGGTAACACTTCTACGAAGATATATATATATATATATATAAATGCACACATATACAAATACATACATACACATACATACATGTACACACACTACATATAGACTTAGGAAACTGTATGGCATTATACACCTCCATGCCTGTATGTGGCAGCAACCACATAGGGGAGGTAGCTCAAAATAGCATGTACAGTCCTTTATGGAGTTGTTATTAAACAGAATGTGGTCTTGCCATCCTGGCTGGTGGAAGTGTTTTATTTCTGTGGGACAGGGGAGTTGCGTCTGAGGAAGGATGATCTCAGGAAAGGGGGTGGGTCTCAATTAGACTGTCTGATGGAAAACCTTGGAAAGAGTCCACATGGCTTGAAGAAACTCCCTAGAGTAGACCATCATATACTGTTTCTTGCTGAGAATATAAGAACATCGCATGTTCTGCTACACAGGGTTAAAATCTCATGTGTGTCTGTGGTTACCTTGAAACAAATTCTTGGCCACTGTGACAAATACGATGATACAATCACATTGACAGGATCTTCTAGTTTAGCAGAGTGAGTTTTCCTGTTACACTGTAAGGGCATTTTTCACATGAGATGTGTAAGTCTTATCCTGGTATTAGTGATACGCTGACACACCTACTGCAGTTGGACAGAAGATTCACAGCAGTGGGGTAGGATGGGGCATAAAGAGGTGTCTGATTCTGGGGTGGCACAGGCACTGATCGTGAATAGCAACACTGTGGTTTCATATTTTACTTTTAAATTGGCACTTTTCAGACTGCTGTCTGATGACAGGTTGGGGGAATTGGTTAATCCAGAGAGAAAGGAGCATTTCTGAAATGCCAGTATTCTTGTATTGTCTGCCTCTTCTTAAAGGGTTTTGAGACGTTAGGCCAAATCCAGTAGCACTTTGTGGATTGTATGAGAATTCTAAGTTCTACACATGAAAGATACTTATTTCAACATGAAGATATTTACTTGTGTTTCTTCCATTGATTCTCTCAGGGTCTAAGCAGTGTCACTTGCCCCGTTTAAGGCATACTCTAATCTGTAATAAGGAATTTTTAGGTGATCTTTGCTTTCTGTCTTCTGTTTAAAATTAATTTCCTCCCATTTTATGTACCTTTGCCTATTAGATAGGTAGTAGGCACCCATTATTGGTATATGTGTCTGCATAAATATATTCATTTAGTTAATTGTGATTTAATTTAACTCCTTATATTTTTTTCCTCCAGTCCTGCAAGTCCCCTAGTATCCTAGTATTTACTTTCTGTGTTTTGTTTGGTTGTTATTGTGGGGTTTTTTTCCTTTTTTTTCCTTTTTTTTCCTTTTTTTTTTTTTTTTTTTTTTTTTTTCCTCCAGATGGCATCTAAATTGTCATCTAAATGCAGAGTACTGAGTGAAATCAGTTATTGCACTTGAGCCCCTGGAAAAAGAACATGTCTCCTGAGCTTAGAAATGGTACGTTAAATATAGGAAAATTGTTTTCTTAATTTAAGATGATGCTACAAAGATGATGTGCAACTACTGAGTGCTTCACCTATCAGAACTCTTTTATCATCATACAAGTCTAGATTTATCCCTCAGTTAAGTACTTATCCTCTGGATTTAGCTTCTGAGCCCCAGCATGATCTTCACTCTGTGGTGTCTGTCCCAGTGTCTCATCCACACTGTCTTCTTATTCCTCTTTGTAGACTAGATGGCAAATTTGCTCTGTGTTTCTCACATCTTACTGTCTTACTGTTATCCCATATATTTTCCAAGTCAGTAATGAAAAGAGTAAATAAAAAGGGCTGTACACCTCACTGGCTCTGCATTTTGCCAGCTATGAGGGTATTTTCCATGAATAATGCTTCAGAAAGTTCGTGGCTTCTGTGCCATAAGTTAACAGCAAAAGGAGTATCAGAGATAAAACTGGTCTGCTACTTGGTGAGGATGATCACCTCACAAATAGGGATGCAGAGAAGTTTAATGCCATCTTTGCCTTAGTCTTTGGCTCTGGGATTGCTGGAGCCCTGCGTTGGAGGATTGTGATCATGATAAACTTCTATCCAACCTTGAACCTGAATAGGATTTGCTGCTCTGGCTGGATATCTATAAGCCTGTGGGGCCCACTGGGATTCATCCCAAGGTACTCCAGGAGCTCACCAATGTCAGTGTGACCTCTCTCTCTATTATTTTTCAACAATCTTGGGGATCTGGAGAGTACCCAGTGAACTGAAAGCTGGCATATATTGTCTCAGTATTCAAGTAGGGCGATAAAGAGTACCTGGGTAATTATAGGCCTGTCGGTCTCACTTCCAGTGCCTGGCAAAATTATAGAGAAGGTTATTCTGAAAGTTATTGGAAACACCTGGAAGACAGTGTAGTCACTGGTCACAGCCAACATGGGTTCACAAGGGGAAAGTGCTGTTTAATGAACTGAATTTCCTTTTTATGACTAGCTTACCCACTTAGTTGACCAAGGGAAGCCAGTTGATGTAATCATTTTGAATTTCAGCAAAGATTTTGATAATATCTTTCATGGCATCCGTCTGGACAACATGTCCAGTGTACAGATAGACAAATACATAATATGATAGATGGAACAGCTCGCTGACGGGTCAGTCTCAAAGGATTGTAGTAAATTAAGTTATGTCAGGCTGGTGTCTGAGTCACTAGTGGAGTTCTGCAGGGCTCTTTAATACTTTCATAAGTGACTTGGATGTAGGACTCAAAGCAATACTAAGTAATTTTGTAGATAATACTATTAGGGAGGAGCCATGGACTCCCTTGAGTGTAGAGAGGCCTTAACAAATTGGAAGGCTGGGCAATTACCAACCACATGAAGTTGATGAGAGCAAGTGCTGCATTCTGCACCTAGGATGGAGCAACCCTGGCTATCTTTACAGACTGTGGGTCAAGAAGCTGACAGCAAGTTGAATCTGAATCAGCAGTGTACCCTGGCAGCTAAAAGAGCCAACCACAACCTTGGGTGCATCAGACCCAGCACTGCCAGCCAGGTGAGGAAAGAGGTCGTCCCACTCTGCTCGTGTGCAGCCTCACCTTGAGCACTGTGTGCAAATATGAGCACCACCATATAGGAAAGAAGTAAAACTACTAGAGAGTGTTCAAAGAAGGGGTATAAAGATGGTGAAGGGTCTGGACAAGCAGCTAAGGTGCTGTGGTTTGTTTGGCCCAGAGTGGCCAGGCCCTGGAGCAGGCTCCCCAGGGTAGTGGGCATGGCTCCAAGCTGCCAGAGGGTTTTTTTTTTGTTTGTTTTAGTTTTTCAGTTTAAATAAATCAAATTCTGTGACACATTTGGTCATAATCCAACCATTCCACAACATCCTTCCCCCTCCACAACCCCCCCACCCCCTTTTTTTTTTTTCTTCTTTTTTCTTTGTTTTCTTTTCCCAAAGCCTATTTGTTTAAGTGCACAATAGAAATCTGAGGGTGGCAAAAGGAATTTTTTTTTTCACAACTATATTTCTCATAAGCTTCTTATTGCTGTATTTTGCATTTTTTGCTGTGCAGAATAATTGTGAAGTTTCTAATTTGAGTATGTGTGACTTTAATTCTTACCACCACTTACGTAGGTTTCGTATTTTATCATCTGTCCTTTAAAATAAATATGTAACTATTCACTGAACACCCAAATATAACAGCTTTTAGATTGCAGTTTGCATAAAGCAAGCAATTCATGTAGATGCTCTAGAAGCATTTCCTTCTAAGTTGTTTATTTTATAAATTTGCTACTGGACTTTTCCTCAGCATCTTTTGTTCTCTATATCAGGTCCAGTCTTTTAAGTTGGCTGGATGTGTCTCAGTAACTAGTTTTACTATGGAGTACAAGAGGTTTGCACAAGCAGCACACCAAAACTGCTTGGATAAGAGCAAAGGCACATCTGAAAGCCCAGTGCTCAAACTAGTAGGTTTGTCTAGGACTGGTTTCATTAGTCAGCATGCTAATCCCAGTGAATATTCACAGTATTGTCCCTAGCACAATGAGGCTGCATCAGGTCTTACTGACTTCCAACAAGCTGAAGAGGGGAGATTTGACTCGTAACACAGGCAACCCAATTACAGACCTGTCTGCTACTGCAAACACAGGATTTGGAAAGGCAGATGGAGTGATGAGCCAGCAGTGTGCCGCTCTGGCCAAGAACGCCAACAGTATCCTGAGATGCATCAAAACATGCATCAAAAGAGTGGCCAGCAGGTTGAGGTTATTGTCCCCCTCTACTGTGCCCTGGTGAGGCCACATCTGGAGTGCTGTGTCCAGTTCTGGGCTCCTCAGTTCAATAAAAATAAGGAACTACTGAACAGAGTCCAGCAGATGATCACAAAGATGGCTGGAACATCTCCTATATGAAGAAAGGCTAGGAGACGTGGGACTCTTCAGCGTGGAGAAGACTGAAGGGATTTCATTACTGCTTATAAATACCTAAAGATCAGGATCTCATTGGCCTGGGCTCTTTTCAGTGGTGTTAAGTGACAGGATAAGGGCAATGGGCAAAAACTACAACACAGGGAGTTCCATACAAATATGAGGAAGACCTTCTCTACTTTGAGCGTAATAGAGCACTGAATCAGGCTGCCCATAGAGGTTGTGGAATCTCCTTCTCTGGAGATATTCAGTGCCTGCCTGGACACTTTCCTATGCAACATACTCTGGAAACCTGCTTTAGCGGAAAGGTTGGACTTGATGATCCCCAGAGGTCCCTTCCAACTCATACAATTTTGTGATTCTGTGATATCTCTGTGTGTGTGTGTGTGTGTGTGTGTGTGTGTCTTTGTACTTGTTGACTGTTTGACTGTCCTCTATGAGAAGAGGACACAAAGAAAACTTGCAGTTATAGCCAGGCCAAGTTTAAGCTTGCTTTCCATAAATAAAAAACTTAAAATTTTGCATCATGTGGCTTAAAATAAGAAGTCTTTTTCTCTAATATTCAGTCATGGCTTTTATGCAGAAATATAAATTATTAATATTAATTAATTAATCCAGTGCTTAGTTGTTAAGAGAGTTGTGCCCAGATCCTTGTTTATGTAGCCATGAACAACTCAGTGTTAGTTGTTACAGTATATTTAACGTATGATTTTAATTATACCTTTACTAAGATTGGACTAATTTGGCAAGTAATGATCTTTCCTTTCTCAGCTAGTTATTGTCCTGGCTTGTACTGTCTGGCCACAAAACATGTACAAAACACTTCTGTACAGTGCTTGCATCACCTGTATGTGTGTGCGTATTTATGCAGAGTTATTTTTTAAGTACTCTTAATTCTGTCTGTCTCTCTCTTCCTGTCTGTGGATTAACAAACTAGAATTTTTTTTTTTTTTAATTCTGAAATAATGTGTCAACCAAAAAAAATTACATGGTTCTTTTTCAAGAATATTTTTTTGGTTGTCCACTAATCTGTCAATATGTGATTTCTCCTTCATCTAAGTCATGACAAAGCACCTTATCCTTGTCATAACTATCCAAAGCCTTATCCATTGTCATATTAGTCTTACCTTCTTTATTTTTAACTTACATATGACTTTAAAAACAGGACTTCTGTTTTCAAATTTAAATGCCACATAAAAGGAAGACTTCCAAGTTTTGGTAGATAAGAATTTCATAAATAAATTCATGCACTCATTAACTGAAAAACAGTAAGCTGGCAATTAGATGAGAGTTGGTTTCCATTTTCTGAGAATACGAGGCAAAAGGGTAATTTTTAGTGGCTTTTTGTATGTGTGTGTTTGGTGGTGATTTCCTAAAAATGTCTGCTCTGATCATGTTCTTTTCAGACTATTTCTTTATATGTTGGGTACCAAATGTAGTTCAGCATGTGCTTGGAGTTGAAAATGCTGAACAAGATGAACACTGTATCAGCACTTTGAGCGATAATGGCAAGCTTGGTGTGACACAAAACTTTGCCTAAAATAAGTAATTCTAAGCAACTGCACAGGTTATCTAGGAGAAAAGCAAGTTTCTGTTGTTCAAAACAGCTTCAGAACTTCTTGTTTCTCAAGGCTTGCTTGAACTTGGATTTTTGAGATTTGATTTTTTTTCAATGAAGAGGAGGGTCTCATTGATGAAACAAATTTTCGGGATAGTTTCATCTGGGAGAAAAATTATTTCTGTGTGTTCTGTCAAACTTTGACAGGATGAGAGACAGGTATAGTGACTGATCAATGACGCTTTGTATGTAGGAGAGAAGTTTCAAGTTTAAACTTTGGAGGAGTGTGCTGGGATTGACCAAGAGCAGATGTAGAATTTTCTTGACAACAGTTCAGTGTCAGCTAACTGGACATCTCACACCTACTAAAATACTTGGCATCAACTCAGTGAAGATTTTATTATAGGAAAAATGGAAGAGGAAACATCATCAGACATCACAGGTCATCTTTGCAGTATGTTTTTTTGTTTCCTCCTGGCTCCCAGTCCATATTCATGTAGGCATAATTTTTCTCAGAAAGGGACACAGATGAATACCACTTCTGCTCGAAGGGTGAGGACATATCTGGAATGGATCTTGAGCGATGTCTCCAAAAGCAGCAGTAAAAACATGCATCTTACTGCTTACTGCTTCCCCACAGAGAGCATTCCAGTTCATCAAAGTTACTCTGAGACAGCTAACAGTAACAGGAAGAGAGATACATGTGTGTGTTTGTGCAGGCATGTGTGTATATGCCCTTGTACCCTCATGTAACAAATCTCTTGAAACTTTTCGGGTTAGCTTCTTACTGTGAGCTTCCCAAGCCCTTCCATGTGCATGGTTTTTTGTTCCAGCTTCATCTCCCCCAGCTCACAACCTGTCTGTCGTGACTCATGCACTCTCTGACTTTGATTTAGATTCCATCTGCTCTCCCATCCAGTCAAATCCATGTTCTTCTAATACACTACAGGAGAAGTGGGGGAGCAGAACATGTATCTGTATTCTAGAAGCAGCAGAGATGCACTGACTCCAGCCTCTAAATTTCTCCATCTTATCTCAGTGCAGTAGTTTCACTAAGCAAAATGTGGTAGAACCAAATCTGTACTTGCTGGAAAGGGCTGAATCGGAGCAACTTGTCCTTCCTGAGGATACATGGACCTTCAGGTCATAATTGGTCTCAGAATATTACTACTCACTGTGCATTTATGGATATTTAAAAGGAATGTTATTTCTCTCTGCTTATACCAAGGTGTATCACAGTTACCTGGGAAAAATAGCGGTTGTATTATCTCTTCTTTGCAAACAGGGGAAGGTGGCACAAAAGTAGCAACTACAGGCTGTTTTCTAATGCTTGGCTGTCAGAAATATGCCCCAAACCTCAGGTGGAGGTAGGTGCGAGTTAAAGACTTGCCTTCACATTGCAACTGGCTTCTCTCAAGGACAGGGTGGCCCTCAAAGGAGTGATCTTTGAAGATCACTTCAGACAAAGAAAGGCTGTCCCTAGGTAGCACAAACAGAGGGATCATGTAAAAGAATACAGAGTAGGCTATTGAGCTCTTCAGTTCAGAGAACGAAAGCAAATCTCTCCCTCTCCAAGAGACTCTAAGAGATTTCATTCTACCAGACTTCTCCATCCACGAGTATCAGAAGAGTGAATTAGTACAAGGTCAGTCCTTGGAATTAAGGCCAGAAGGGAATTTTCCTAGGGAGACTAGGTTTGAGGTAACTGTCTTTTCTACTTACTTTTGAGACAGCTTATGGAAGACCATCCATTGAGGTGAAACTGGTCATTCTAAGTCAGATAATGCTTTATAAATATCAAGGAAAGGGATGTGGCTCAAAATCCAGGAGAATATTCCCAAGAATATGTTCTCAGAGCCTGAATTTTTTCTGTGTTGCTGATAAGTGAAAACACATCCAGTAGCCTACTTGGGATCACATCTAAGTGTTTTGACACACTGAAAGTATGATGGAAAGAGAAAGAGAATGTTAGAGAAAAGCTGCAGAATAGGCCAAATCGAATTCTGCATGTTTACTGAGAAAACCCCACAAGGACAGTGAGTTAAAGCAACATCTTACCCTTGGATACTATGGTTTTGCATCCATGACATGAAGTTATGAGACATCTCTTTGCAAGATACAGATCAAGATCTCCTTCAGATCTACATCTGGAATAGAGGGATGCTGTAGACAAGGGCTGTAGTCTCTACTTCTAGTCACTGGAGACACAGGGGAAAGTGGGAGCTAGAATTCTCTGATCTATGACATGCAGAAATATGTGGAAAATAAATAGAGCAGAATTATCAGGAAAAAGAGCATGAGTTTTATTGATGAACCTGTTTCCAAAGCATAGAAAATGATTCCCTCTCCTGTATTTCTTGGTACTCCATTTTTTTAATTTTTTTTTTTTTTTTTTTAATTTTAAGTTCTTGTATTTTAAGACTATAACTTTGTAAAAATTCCAACAGTGGTTTTGAGAGACACAGTTGACAGTTGTTCAGGCGCGTACATGATGTTTTACTCCTCTCCCTCCAACAGAGGATGCCCCCATTTAGGGTTTTCACATTCTGTTTAAAAATTCTAGAGATGGGAAGACAGAGGCTTTCCTCACTTTCAGTGCTTTTCTTTGAGCCCTGGCTGAATTCAAGACATGAAATGTAGACCAAGGATTTTCCTTCCTTTCACCTGATTTTAGGGTATGGCTCTGCTAAAGGTCAGTGGAGAAACATCTAACTGCAATTCCACCCAGGAAGATCCCAGAGTAAAAATTAAGAAAGAGGAAAAATGTTCTAGATGGGAATGTTTTGGGGGGTGCAAGTTAAGAGCTAGCCAAAAGGAGCAACATAGACAGGACTGCAGACAGAAGCAGCAGTACACTTCTTGGCTGGAGGTCAGGTTTGCACTGGTGCCTGCATGTCAGGTGTGACTATAAGGATGACACCAGTGGAGAAGATTTGCACCCCCTCCACTTTATATATGGAGGATTGACCGAGGGCATCCTGATTATGTCCAGTAATATTCATGCCCTCTTATGATCCTTTCTGACATGTTATGTAGACACTTGCTCACCACAAGTGAAAGCAGAGGCCTTTAACATTATGAGCCTGCCCTCAGTCACCTTGCAGACTACATCTGACTCCTGTACACAGCTCAATAACCCAACTGATATTTGTATATAAAGCAGAAGAAAAAAAGGTTAAGTCCTATGTTCCTTCCCCCAACTGAATCAATTCTCTATGGGGTTTGCAAAGAGCATCCAAAAGCTGTGAGGAGCATACGCAAGACTGGCTCAACACGATGGTCTATGCCCTCACACCACCTATAACGGGACATCTTCATCCTCATCTTCATCCAGATCAGTGGTGTGTAGGCTGATGTCCTTCAAGATGTCTGAGATGTTTTCATTAACTGGTCCTGTCAGCTCCATCTCTTCCAACTCGGTATCGGTGGCATAATTGGAGCACAGGCCTTCCCCTTCATCATGTAAGTGAGAGGGCTGTGGAGAGAGTGAGTGCAGAGGCAGTGTGCTCTTTGTCCCCAAGTCTGCTGCTTGCTGCGCTGCCACCACGCTGCTGTCCTGCTGGCTCCACACCTGAGCACCCTGGCTGACCTTTTCACTGCTGATTGAAGTCCTGTTTGTGTCACGGAAACTGGCAAGGGGAGGGCGGAGGCGAACTCCGGAGCGTGTGGAGCCCTCTATTGCCTTTTGAAGCTATTAGAAGAGAAAGAGTTCAGAGAAAAAATTGCTGAAAGGAAGCAGCCCTACCCAAAAGCCCTACCCTGACTCAGCCCTACCCAAAAGTTCATCGGCTCTCCAGGGTAAAGGACTCACAGATAGAGTCACATCATTGTATAAGCGATGGGGCCTGAGATCATCTTTCATACAGGTATTGTAATTAGTCCACGGTAAATAACAAATCCTGCACTACTGAGGCAATAATAGCTGCTCGGTTAAGAGGTCTGCTTTCAGGAAAAGGACAAACAGTCTAACGTGCCTGTAAATAACATCTGCTGCTTTCTCTGAAATACAGTCACCCAATCCTTGCCTCTACATAGCTCTCAGAGTGATGAGTCAGAATTCAACACTGGATTGAAAACAGAGCAAGCACAGTTATATACACTCCAAGCTGGATCTCCAACCTGTGAGTGTTTTGCAATGATGCACAAGACATTTGCATTTGATTAGGAGTTGAGATTATCTGTACCTACCTCTTCCAAAGCCAGCACTCCCTTCAGCTTTCCCATACTGGTTACATAGGCATGGCTGAGGCCCAGTAGTGAAAACAACGTATGCGTCTAAGAGGAAAAACACACACAAAAAAATGCAGGGGCCTTGAAAACTGGTAAGGTGATACCTGGTGGACTTAGGATTTAGAAGCAGGAATGCCAAAGGCATACAAGCCTGGTAACCAAAGTGAGAAACTACTGCTTCCATTCCCCTTTTGTAGCTAGCAAATGTTAATCTCTGGTCCTTCTATTGCCCCTCTGTAGGTAGGAGTGTGTTGATAATGCAGAGCACATTCTCAAAATCACTTCCATCCTCCATCTGGAGAGAGATTCATATACAACTCCCTGTGCATTTAAGGACTTACACAGATCCCTTTTCATTTCATGCTGGAAATAAAACTATCGTAGTAATATGCATAGTCAGAACTTTCTTAGGTTATTTGTTCCAGTACTTTCCTTATCACCAGAAGTTGGTTTTTTTTTTTTTTTCCTGTTCTTTTCTTGTCTAATCTTGGTGCTGTTTATCCAATGCAGTGGCAACAAAAGAAAAGAGTTAATACCTTTCTCTTAGAAAGTATTCTGAAAAAGATAGGTATTACACTGCTATCAGTCTTCTCCAGCCTACATATACTATATTATTTTACTATTCTTTAAAGATCAGGTTTTCTGAAACTAAGCATTTTCAGTGCTTATCTGTGGAATATTTTTTACCTTTAATTTCTTTAAGCTGAGCTATGGCTGTGGACTTACACAAAGTAGTTCTTTCTGAGCTGGTATTTATCTTTTTCTTTAGCATCATATGACATGCGGAATTGATTGTAAACTAAGGAAAATGTCAGTCTTCATGCAGAAGACATTTTACTCTCATGCAAAAGAGAAGCAAACTGCTTAAGTACAATATGATCACAATCTGTGATATTCTTGTCAGTATTCTCACACTTAGCTCTGACCGTGCATACCTCAGTTTGGTTACTTATTCCTGTTTTTTTTTCTTGTGCATTTAGGTTGACTTTTGTCTGTTACTTCAGAGTTTCTCTGACAAAGAAAGAGATATATGAAATGTTCTTCATTGGAATTCTCCAGGTATCACATCTTGTAACCTCTATAATCTCAGATACTAGTGAGTTTCAGATTCCTTCAGCCAGTCCTTTAGAAAACACCATCTTAAGTATGTCAGCCTCTTTTTATTTTGCTAAAGGCTTAGATCTTACCGCTTTGATAATGGTAATTAATTTTGTGCAAGGCATATACTGACATTTCACATTAAATAAATAATGATTAAAAACTTGCACTGTGTGCTTTTGCTTCAGTAGGCCAATTTTCCTTTCCATTTAACGAAACTCCAATCCTCTGTTTCTCCTGATATAGCTATATAATGATTGCTTTTTCCCTCAGTCATTCTATATTAACTCTGGAAGTCATGTCGTAGAATATTCCAAGTTAGAAGGTACCAACAAGGATAACTGAATCCAACTGCTGTCTCTACCTGGTACCAGCCAACATTCAAACCCTATGTTTGAAGGTTGAGAGCACTGTCCAAATGCTCCTTGAGCTCAGGCAGCTTGGGGCTGTGGTCACTACTGTGGTAGCCTGTTTCCGAGTCCAATCACTCTCTTGTTGAAGAAACTCTTCCTAATATCTAATCTGAACCTCCTCTGATACAACTTTATGCTATTTCCTTGAGTCCTATCACTCACTGGTCACCAGTATGATCTAGTTTCTTCTTTCCTTGGGCTTCAGATCAGTGAAGACCAACCTTATGAGGTAGACTAGTTTGAAACAGCTTTTCTCACACATTAAGAAATGCTCTGCACGCTGACAGAAACACCTTGAGGAATCCAGGAGTAGTCATTCCAGTGCTGTGCACCAACAAAGCAGTGTGTATCTCCAGGTAATGCCTGCAGGCAGCACTGCATATAGTGCTTCTGTTGATGCAATGGCTGGAAAGTCCTACGTGTGTCCAAAAGTTATTTAACAACAGAACTTAAACTTCTTAACCTCTAGCCTTTCTTTTTCCAGGAGACTGGAAATACATGCAGAAAAATAGAGAAAAAAATTACTCCTGTATGTGGACGTGAAAATTGCTGGTGTTAATTATAATTGGATGAGGACAATGTGAGTAGGTGAAGAAAAGGAAAAGACATATCATAGACGATACTTAATGATAGATATGGTGGACAAAAACAGTATGCCTCAGGGAGATGTCTGCACCCACCTTGTGCAGAGAGGTTCTCTCCACCAGTTGGAAAGGGGAAGGGTCTATGCGGCAGCATTCAAAGCACACATCCTTTTCCAGCTCCTCTTGTTCCCAAGCATCTATCTAACAGAAGAAAGGAGAACCACTCATAGTAATCAGCAGTGCTGCTGGTTATGTACCCAGACTGTGCCCATTCTCCCATTAATCATTTGTCCATCCAATGTATATTATCCACCTGCCTTGCATACTATATCACCTCCTTCAGGTTTCTTATTCTTAGAAGATATCAAGTCCCTGTGTGAAGAGATAAATTCCAGTATCTCTGAGGTTTTCCGGGGAGGGAGAGTTTTGCTCCTTCCTGCTTAAAGAGGGAGTGAACATCTTAGCTTTCCTTCCTGAGTGCATCTTCCACTTGTCTTTACAAGGTAATAGTTCCTTTTTGCAAAGAATGAAGGAACAACATAGACCCATAGCTTTAGGTGAGAAGAGACCTGCAAAGGCCTCTGATCTAACATCCTGCTCACAGCAGGACTGATTTCAAAGCTCGATGAGATTACTCGATGCCTTACTCATTACATCTAGCAGAAAAAATCTCTTAATGGGTGAGACTTGCCTCCTATACAAATCTAAGAAGAAAATGGGTTTATCTATGGTTTTATGTGGCAATTACTGTTCTAAGAGTTCGGGAAGAACTGCAAATGATAAAGAATGGGCAAAAGAAACACTCACTTGACTTACTTCCCTTTCAGTCTTACCTCTTCTGGTGTCATTGTCTCAATGACTTCCACTGGCTCCTGTAGAAGAAAACGCTGTTCGGTTTCACAGAGTACAGAAAGGAAAGATGTGCATAACCCCCTTACACCTTGTGGTCCCCTTTTTATTTCAGTTAATATATTACTAAGTCATTAGATTTTCTTCATACTCATACATTGAAAAGTGCACTCTATACTTAATTTTCTTCCCTTACCAAAAAAAATGGCCTATGTCAGGTGCCTAAACAGGGCCATCTGGTACTGCTTTGGATGCTTTCACATGGGGCCCAATTACCGTCCTAGAGTGGGTGGATCTCTCAGAGACTCAGTATGATATCCACCAACCCGGTGCCCAAGGGCATCTAATGTAGCACAAGACGAAAGCTTTTTTTCATTTTTAGCTAGCCAAAAATAGTGCCAAATGAACTAGACTTGCACTTTGTTTCAGACTAGTGGAAATGATGTCATTTGCTGGGAAAAAAAGATGCCCAGACTCAATCATGATGGTAGCCTTGATACCTGAGCACAAATGGCTCATGAGCAAGATGTACACTCCTTCACAGTAATCACATCCTTTCTCCTTGGAGGGAGTTCCCCACTGACACTGTCGGAGTTCATGACCATATGTATGTCCATCATTTGGCCAGATGCTGAAAGGCTCTATTTCCATCACATCCCTTCTCTTTCCAGGCTACTGCTAGGCTTTCTGTATCCCTAACCTGGACAGCACTCTGTGTTTCAGGTCGACGGTTGTAAGGGCACAAGAGCTGCTGGAACAGTTGCCTCAAATTCCGGAAACTGTCTGAAGAATGAAAACAGATGTGGATAAGAGACAAGAATGAATGAGTGACAAAAATACAAAGCTCCATGGTTATCTTCTTGCCCAAGGCAGGCTAGAAAATAATATGAGGGACATTTTATACTGTACGTGACAGGGTTTAGCCAGCCACAGTTCAGCAGTCAGTTTGTAAGATGATGGTTAGGACATGCCAGGATAAATATTTCCATGCAATATCTTTTCCTTAAGGAAAGGAAAGAAAACATTACAAAATAGCCCACACAGATGATGTTAATAGATCAGTGTCCCTGAGGAGAAAAACAGAAGCAAGACTATTAGACAGCAAACAATATGATACAAGAAAGAAACTGCTATAGGGTTTCTGAAATACATAAGGAGAATCTGATTTAAAGGCTGAGTATGGAACGAAATTTGAAAATAACTTCAAATCAAAGTATACCAATTAGCCAGACTTGACAGTTATGAGGGAGTGAAAAGGCCATGGGCTGAGCCAATAGCGTAACAGTGGGAGTGAGAATAACTGCAGAATTATTCTAGGCAGGACAGTCAGAAATTAGCAAATGGGAAAGTATAGGGTTTGGTGCTGTTGTGAACAAGGCTGTTCAGATTGGTCAGAAACTATGGCAGCTGTGAGCCAAAGTAAAAATTATGGAAGGGAAAGCCTCGTGAAGTCATCCCTCCTTCATTTTCTTTTGTGACTCCTTGATAACTCAGCACTAATTTCACTTAAAGTGTCTCACACAATATCCTTGTTTTGATATAATTGTTTTTCTGATTTGGTAAGGAAAATGAATTGCTATTCCACCATTCTACTGCCCTGGCAGCATAGCATAAAGTGAATTTTTGTATGCTGGAAAGGTTTAGTCATAAACAAGTGGTGTTAAGGCTCCAGATACGTTATAGGCTATATTATATTTGGGTATCTAAAAACATGAGCCAGAACTACATCCTCTGTATTAATTCTGAAAATTTGGCTGTACCACTGTGTGAACTCGCTGTCTGCGTATTTCAAGGCACACAAAGGAAAAAAAAGCAACCAAACAAAAACAAACTAAACCATCCTGTATCAAATATACATGATACAGGAATCAGAAACGAGATACAAACATAGTTGTGGGAACAAAGCTAATGAAGGTGAAGCAGCACAAAGAGAACACAGTAAGTCAGTATTCGTCCTTCATATTAAATAAGCTGAAACCAAGAGATATGCATCCAAGGGAGGAGTTGTTCAGCTTTGGAAATGGCCAAGCAACTCCAAAAATAAGTACATATGTTCAGCTCTCAGACTTCTCAGAATAATTCACAAGGTGAAGGTGCCAAGTGGTGGGATGTTCACATGCAGAACCTCCAGCAAAAGTCAAAGGAGACGTTTTTGCAAACCTTGGAATTGGGGATACTGACAGAGAGAGAGCTGCCTGAGTGGGCCTACTTTTGCTATGCTCTCTAGAGGATCACGAAAAGAAGATAATTTCAGGTAATTGTTGTGAGGTACATTTTTCAAAGTGCCAGCACAAGAAAAGCAGAGAAAGTTGACTGAGAACAATTTCTTCCCCACAACTGAGAAGCCGGCACCTTGCACAGACATTTACATATAGTAAGCTTTAAATCTTCCATAATCTAACTAAGGTGTGATTGGGGCACGCCAGAAGTTATACCTGAGAATTGCTGTGGCTCCAAAATTTCAGGCGTTTGTTTAAGAGGATTTGTTGGGCCATTGGGCTCCTCTGGGTGACTAGGAGAGGGGCTTGGTGGCTGAGGCTGCTGTTACGGAAAGGAGAGAAAATAAGGTCCACCCCATGTCATTTCTTTCTCAGTCTTTCCAAATGTCTTACTGCTTCTTAAGCAGTCTATAATGAAGTCTCTTTTCTTCTCCCTCACCTCTGCCTTCTCATCTGTATCATCATCCTCATCAACATAAACGAAAGATTCATGCTTCAGCTTTGGCAGCATTGCTCCTGATCCCTTGCTGTGTCCATCATAAGGTGCCTCAGCCAGCTTCTGCTGCATTTGTTTGTTGAGGCACCGTCGCCGTTCTGGGCTGATGTGTCTCTGGAGGAGTGCCTGCAGATCGGATCGTTCTACAGACCCCAGAAGGATCATGGTCTCTGCATAACACAATAGAGAAACTATTCAGTCCCCTCATGGTTTTGAATGCCACTTGCCACACATTGCCCTTTCTTCCTTTTAAATTCTTTGAAATGCTGGAAGCAGCACTATCACAAGCTATAAAATTAGCCCTGCTAATTGCTGCTAGTATTCTTTGGGGCTGGGGGAAGCTAGCCATCCCTGATCTGTGCACTCCTGAGAACAACAGAAACAGGCTCTTTACTTATACAAGATCCCTCCCTTTTGTCAAAATTGCCACACATCTCTTACATACTATATCTAATTCTCACACTTCATCTTACCTGTCTGCTAAAGCTGAAACAATCTTATTTCATACTTAATCATAGTGGAAAGTTTTTAGTATGAATCATGTTATATATTGGACCACACTACCTTCTTCAAAGTGTGTAATTTGAGAGTTTCTTTTGACTCAGTTGAGACAGCCTTCAGGAAAGACCAGTCGCTTACCTGGTGAGTCCACCAAAGGCAAAGTCTTAACAGTGGTGCTTTGGAGTAGAGTTTGCAAATCTCGATATTTACAGTTGGAGGAGACAAATTTCACATCTTGGACCATAATATCTTCAACAAAGATATTGTATTTGCTGTGAATATATGGACAAGATGAAGAGTTAGAATGTTAAAAATGTATAGCAGGTAAGTTCCTCAGTGTGTTCTTTATAGAGCTGCTAATTGATCATCTCTAAGAGTAACCAAGGAGGACTTTGGAGCAGTATCAACATGGATTTCATTACAGTTCTATTTCACTCCACTATCTTCCACAATAAAAATACATTTCTATACATGCACATACACATACATGTTTTATATATACATACATATATACGTATATTATATATACATTTTATATAGAGACACATGTAGGTGAATAGCTGATTTTATATTTTTTAAAAGTATAAAAGTATCCAAATAAAATGTTTCAAACATTTTTAAAAGAAAAAAAATCCAAATGTCCAAGTCTTCAAAACTGAAGTGAATTGGTAATATTTACAGAAATTCAGTAATATTGCAGATGATTCAAACTTGTGCTTTCTGTGTATGGACCTTATTTCTATTCCACCTCTTTTTTCTTCTCTTGTTGCTTTTTCTTCTCAGCCCAGATTTATTCTGCATTTTTATTTTCTTTGTAACACTGTCTGCTTTTCATGACCTTTTCTTCTCCCACGGTCTCATTCTCCCCACCTCCATCTCTGCTCTACTGCTGTACCTTATATGATTCCAGCCCAGATCTGGCAGGTAGGGCAACTTCTTCACCTGGATGATGCTATCATAGAGGCTGGGTTGCAGACTCTGGGCCACCATGTTGGCAAGAATGACAGCTACCATCATGGGCAGGATGTGGGCAATTTGACCTGTCAGCTCAAAGCAGATCACCGCAGTGGATACAGTGTGGCTCACTGCTCCTGTCAGAGCTGCTGCACCTTTCCCAGATAGGATGGAAAAGTTATTGGGAGAGAAGAAGAAAGACTGTGATATAGAAACAGAACATCATGTAGGCCAGGAAAGTTATGGGGATGGGATTAGGTGGAGAAAGAGGAAGACATGAAGACTCACCAATGACAGCATACCCTCCAGGTAAGATTTTGTAAACAATACCATCAAAGAGGATCCCATCTGGAAAGAGAGATGCCATGATTTCTCCAATAAGGCGTCCAAATGCAGCACCTGGAAAACATCACCAGCAATTATGGAATTTAACATCTAAAGAGCATAAAGTCTACGCTATGTAGCTATGCTGGGTAAACACTGGGGTGATTTCTAACAGAAACAAAACCAACACTTACATAAAGATGACACCAGGACTGAATAATAGCTTTCAGTTACAAAATACAAAAGTTGAACTCCAAGAGGAAAAAAATGTACTAAGATATGTAAATACAGTTGAACCCTCATTCTTCCACTCAGATGTACGAGGCATGGAGGTATTTGTGATTCCCAGGCAGGGAGAAATGTCTTTTAAAAGACAGCATATTTTGTGTCACGTCAGTCCAAATCACAGTTCAGGATTGATGTGCACTCACTCTATGAATGTCCAAAATATTAGAGTCTTAAGCTTACAGAAAAGTTTGGATGGGAAGGGACAGGTGGAAGTCTTTGGTCTGAGCCCTGATCACAACATGCTAATTTCAAAGTAAGATCAAGTCACCGAGGGCCTTGACCAAACCTGCTTTAGAAGTCTCTGGTGATGGAGATTCTCCATCCTCTTGGGGAATCTTTACCAGGGAAACAATTTTTTCCCCATGTCAATCAGAATTTCCCATGTTGCAACATGTGCTTTTTGCTTCCTCTTTACTAGCTGTCTCCAGGAAGAGTCTTTCTATCTTCCTTATACCTTGCTGAATTAGATGGTGAAACCTAGTTAGCTCTCCTCTTGACCTTCTCTTCTGCAGATTGAACAAGCCCAATTTCCTCAGGTTGTCCTTGTTTGTTTTGTTTGCTCCCCAACAATCTCAGTGGCCCTTCACTAGACTCAGTGCACTTTGTCACACTTCCTGCGTGGATGGACACAAAATAGTATTTGAGAATTGTTTGCAGAATGCCAATTGCTCCAAAATAACCTGTTCCTTTGCCTTGCTGACTGGGCTTTTACTAATACAGCTTTGTTTGATGTTAGCCTTCATTACTGCAAGGGCATATTACTGATTCAGGTTCAGTTGTTGCCTTCCAGAACCCAGAGATTGTAAGCACACTTCAACACACTTCATTTAATTTCAGGGCTGTGGATAATTAATGCTGAACTTCATGAGCTTGTAAACAACTTGATAAATAATAAATTCCCATATGCCATCGCACTCCCTGACGGAGAAGTGGCATTGCAGGTACTAGTTTTGAGGTTGTGACTTCTCATTGGCCTTCAGGAGTGAAAGGAGCAACTACTGCTAGCTGTAGTATGAGTTTCTCTGTAGATGAAGAGTCAGAGAAATGAGAAGACCATGACTCAGCGTGTCTTTCCGCAGCTTGGCTTTTCTTTTGTAAAATGATAAAAGATGTCCTCAGCATTTAGGTATAAGAGTGTGGACAAAAGAGACTGGTATAAGAACTGCTGACTAAGATTGTCATAGGCATGAAGTGATAACTAGACTCTGTATCCTCTCGAAGAAGCCTACCAGGAACGTACACACCATCTCTTGTCCTTTCTACCTGTCAGATCCATATGTTGCAACATAAAATTGGAACTCACCTAGAACAAAAACAGGCATGAAGCCTCCACAGGGGATTGGCATCGTGGTAGCGATGACAGACATCCAGAACTAGAACAGAGGCAGAGGGTGCAGTTGTTAGCGAGTAGCAGTAGCATTTCCTACAGCCCCACTCTACTGACCAACGTGTAAATCCATAAGGAGACACAATCTGATGGATATGGCAGTTCAGCTGGGAGGTGAAGGGCTAAGGGGCTGTGAGGTGTGAAGAGGAGTTAGAGAAACTCTTGCATCACACCAACAATGAAGCAGAAGACCTTTGGGTGACTGCTGTGTTGTCAGGGAAGCCAAATCACCAAGAGAATGAACATGAGAACACCTTTGCCTTGAACTTCTGAAGGTAAGATTTCCTACTGTTCTGAACAGGTTTTTTATTTTTATTATTATTAATAATTTCATAAAATGAGATTATCAGGATTTCATAGCCTCAAAAAAAATTTACTGTAAAGGGAACTCTAGAGGTCTCTCACTCAACTTCCTGCTTCCAGAAGAGTTAATTCCTAAGTTAAATTAGCTTTCTCTGGGCCTAGTCCAGATAAACTTTGAACATCTTGACGGGTGGAGATTCCCCAGCTTTTCTGGGAAGTTTCTGAGAAGCCAAATTCAAGGCAGAATTTTTTCCTGAAGCCCATCTGCTGTAAGTTTCCCTTATTATAGCTTGTACCTAGCCTGTTCCAGTGTTCGACTGTGCTCACAGTAAATACATTTTTCCTGATGTCCATCTGATCCTCTGCTGGTGCAGCTTTGTGCTGTTCCCTTGCATTCTCTCACTGTTACTCAGGAGCAGAGCCCAGCACCTCCCTCTACTCCCACTCATCAGGAAGCTGCAGAGAGCAATGACCAATTGGCCTTTTTCAGATTGGGCAGCCCGAATGTACTCTCAGCCTGCCTTCACAGGGCATGCCTTTCAGACCTGCTACCAGCTTGGCTGCCCTCCTGTGTAAACATGCAAGTATCTTAATATCCCTTTTATATTGTGGAGCCCAGAACTATGCACAAGATTCAAGGTGGGGCTTGATTCAATTTTCAAGATTCAATGTTAAATAAAAAAATAAAGATTCAAGATTCAATGTTAAATACAGTGGGATAATGAACTGTCTCGGCCAGCTGACTATGCTATGTTTAGTGCACCCCAGAACATGATTTGCCCTCTTGGCTGCTGAGTAGTGCTGAGGCTAATCCAAATATTGACTTAGTCCAGCCTTCTGGTGGCAACAGCCTATTCTTACAAACACCTTGAGTGCCAGTAAGTTTGTCTTTTCTTAGGCGAAAGGCCAGGAAATTTCCATAGCTGAAAAATCCACTAAGGATGTTGCTATTTCAAGAGCTTGTACAAAGAAATGTACTGTCAATTCCTTTGCAGCAGTTTCTTCTGTAGGAGAAAGGCAAGAACAGTCCAGCATATGAAGAGCAATACTTCCAGGTTTCTCCTAAAGAACTAGAATGTCTTGTTTTCCTCAGAGTAGGCAAATCATTCCTGTTCAAGGTCCACCCTTGATGAGGTGATGCCTATGCAGACAATGCAGTAGCTGTAGACAGATGAGGTATTAACCTCTAGACAGTCAATTTGAAGAAATCCATCTAAGACAAATTTTCTGCAGTTATAGGCTGGTTGGCATAAAAGGAAAAAGAAACTAGTATACAGGCTATGATGTCACAGGCTATAATGTAAAGCCTTCCACAAAGGTAGCAAAGAACCAGCAAAACAGCATATCTCAGCTCATGGCAGAGGAATATGCAGGGAGGATGGTTTGGACCATCAGCTTGATACTGGCTGTTGTTCTTCACATCTGCCATTTGAATACTTCAATGAAGAGGCTCCTGGATGGCTACAGAAGCCACCAAACTGCATAGGTAGAATACTGCCACCTAAATTTTATCTTGCCAAACTCAGACCAAATACAACTAAGAATCAGGAGCATAACGAATTGGAGAATAAGGTCAAGTCTTCTAGAGTCAAAGCTGCAGTTACTTTTTAACGTGTGTATCCCAACTGTGAATGTATAAAAAATGAACTACTTGGAGCAGTTATGTCATGATTTGAGAAAACTTTAAGTCAGGCACCTCCAACCCAGGGCCCATGGCCCACACATGGCCTGGCTCAGCCCGTCCTGTGGTTGCCCCTTGTCCTGTGCCATCATGGCAGTGGCTCTTTTCTTCTAAGCAGCTTGACCCAGCCCCAGATGCACACCTGCTGCTTAACAATAACCAAACGTTGGTGTGTGACTGGGACTGTCTGGACTGAAACTAGGACATGGGGAGGGTGCAGTACAGTGCCAACTGAATTTATGGCAAATAATTTTATGCATTTGATACATTGGTTGAACAGTCCTGTGAACAGCAAAAAATATGCAGACTTGCTTTCCATTTTGAAATTTTGGAATTTGAGAATAGTTTTCAAGGTCGCAGAAAAAAAAACAATCCATTTTTCTTGGTATTTTTTTGACTCAGTTTTCAGTTGACTCCAATACATTACCTGGAAATTTTCAAGTGGAATGTATAGAGTTGTAATCAGATATTCAACTCAAAAATTTGGTCACGTCTCTCTACTAGACTTGTCTCTCATTTCACTGTCATCTCTTGTTCACAACTGTATGTACTCCCAGAAAGTGATGACATGAACAACTCTTCAAGGATGAAGTAAAGGAGGAGTAAAATTTCATGAAAATGTTTGATGAACACCTTGAGAACTCAGTAAGAACTGCAACCAGTTCCATCGAACAAGACTGATGCATTAGTTTCACAAAACAAAGGTCAAATATCCCACTAGTTTTATGGTTTTACCACTCTCTTCTATGTTGTGATTAAAAATAAAATAAGTTTTGTTAGTTACATACATTACCTATATTACATATTTTGTGCACAGCCCAAGACTACTCCTCTTCACTCAGTACAGCCCAGGGAAGCCAAAAGGTTGGACACTCATTCCCTAAGCTAGTGGGACAAGGCCAACGAATTCAGTCTTTGAGAATACAAGTCTTAAAGGAGAACAGATGGGGCTCAAGAAAGATGCACTGTGCAGTCCATTCTTTCTTTTATTCAGTGAGACCCTATCTGCTTAGTACACTGTAATCAGAATTAGTACAGAATGATAACCTTCAGATGCCTGTCAGAAATTTGATAAAATGTTTTATGTTAGATGGAATCAGCTGTGTCAATCATTAATGCCTATTTTTGATCTGTTGAAATGTTCAACTTGTATTTCAAGGTGGCTTCAGCTCTTCTTGTTCTTAAGAAAAAATAAATAAGCATTTCTGCAACTTTCACACTCCTTGCCTCCCAGAAACCTTTCTTGGTAATTGTATTTTGAACATTATCATGTCTACTTCTTCTAGATATCAAGTAAATAGCATGAGACTTTGTTTAGGCCAAATATAAATTATATTTATATTTGCTTTATACTCAATTACTCATTTTCTCAGTCCTTGAGAGACTTGTTCTGATGTAGTCTTTACTACCAGCCACTAAACTGTGTCTCCTGAAAGTCATTCAGCAGGATGCATAATGAAGATTAACTACCGAAGGAGAAAATGTATTAAGGCTAGAAAATTTTTCCCTAATAAATTTGCTGATCTTGTATTCAATATAGGCAAAAATTCCATCAAAAGATATAAGACCCCATTCCTGTAGTAGTGTTTTATTCAATACCTAGCAACTTGTCATAGGCAGATACATTTTTAATGCAGGATCAGGAGAACTCACTCTGAGTGGAAAAGGGTTAGAGTGAGCTGAACTTCGTACCTTCATGAGAAAGAAAAGCAGGATGATGATGAAGACACTGACTTTGGGGTGGATCCAGGCAGCAGATTTTCCTAGGATCTGAGGGTCTCCTGTGTATTTTGCCCAGGTGTAGTTATCAAAGAGAGAGCTGATGGCTTCCCGTGGCATCAACTATAAAGAAAACAAAACAAACCAAACAAACAACAAACAGGGATTAAGCATGACATTAGACAGATTAAATATTCTGCCTCTGTTCCGAGGAAGTCAGGGAGAATTTTACTTAAACAATTCATGATTATGAGACTTAATTCATATTTTGATCTTCAGGAAGAGACGTGTGATTTTACCCGAACTTGTAAAAGGACAATAACTTTTACACATCTTCCTAAATTACTTGCTTAGGAAAGTGGAGCTCTTTCAAGTTTTACGTGAAAGGGATATCAGAGATCACATCTCACAGTACAGTCCTTCAGATCAAACTCTTCCCAAATCTTTCTTCTCCTTCCCAAGATGTAAGGTTATTGGGGAACAGGAGAAAGGGAGATTGCTCTACAGAATTAGAAATAATTCAAAATGCACATCCCACTCTCACCTCTCCTGCCATGAACTGCCCAAACCCCAGAGGGAAGGTCACGGATGCTATAAAGAAGGTTATGAACCCAGGGTATATGAGGAAGCTGAAAAGAAAGAAAAGTCTGTTAAAATGTAACCTCACATTCTTGTAGCAATATCACTTCAGGAACATAAATGCTATTCCTGTGAAAGTTCTCTGCTGCGTCTGTGTCCATGCTTTGGAGTTGTGTCACTGACTATTTAATGCCCTGCTCCACTGACCATCATGATTCATAGAGAGTTCAGCAGGCAGCAAAGCCATTTTTTCCATCAGAAGTAGTATAATGGGGAGGGATGTACAAATTGCACAGTCTTGACTATACAGAGGCGACGTGTATTTACAACTGTGAGGTGACCCAGCGTCAAAAGCCAGCCTCTCCTCCAGTTGCCGCAATTATTTTTATCTTGCTCTTCATCCTCCATGCAATTTATCCTGTCCTAGGGTGGTTCTCCTTCTTGCCATACATTTCCGCATGCACTCTTAGTTGCATTAGCACTTAAGGGAAAATATTGCCTTATTTTCCATTGAATCCCTGTCCACCACATTTCTGGGTGGAAAGTTGTCAGTAAAACCTTTATTGCTAAATCTTACTTTATCTTGTATTTCTCTTGCATGCTGCAATTCACACCTTTGGATTACTATCAGTTTCAGCTTTTGGTTCTTGAATATACAGCAATTTCAATACCGTGATACACTCTTTACATATTTGTCTCCATTTTGATTTTAAAAAACATTTTAGATGTTAAGGATGTAGTTATATTCCAGTTGTTTTCTGTTTCTTACAATATAAGCATTTGTTTCTTTTATAGATTCTAAGAAAGAAGAACCCAGTGCCTCTCCAGAAGTATGATCAATGATTTTCTAGTTAAGAACATTTCTTGCCCAATCAGTATTTTCCTTTCTCCTCTTAATAAGTATTACAGAATTCCTTCTAAACCAAGGTGCCATTCGAAGCTATTGGAGCCAGTCTAGAAAAAAATCCATCTCAGAATATATGATACTGGTATTTGCAGATATCTTTCTCTGATATAAATTCAGTTTTTCCCATTTTTACAATTTTATAATTGAAATAGCTATACTAGCTTCTAGAAAGTATTTGTTCCTATCCATTATCAGTAGGGTATCAAAAACTTGCTGACAAAGTATTCAAAGACACTCACTACTTGGTGAGAAACTGGCTTAGAGCTGTAAGACGCCGGACGCACAGCACCACTTGACGATTGAGATAAACAAAAAATGCTCCAAGGAATCCTGAACATATCCTAAAATAGTGGAAACGAAATAAAATCATATCAAACCATTAAAAGCATACAAACCACCAACCAAAACCCAAGCATTTTTCATCTACAGTTATTATGATGTCTTTTAACTTAACAACATGCAGCAGCTCAGCTGAAAACATTGACTCCTTGGCGAAAAGGGAGAGATGGTTTTGGACCTCTTTGTCACACACTGCTATTTTGCTCCTAAATTTTCTCTTGCTTGTAGATGAAAATTTCATGTCAGGATGTGATGTCCAATTACAAAATGCAGTACGGTTGCACCTTATCTGTAGCTGGTCCCCTCCTTCTCTTTTCTGTGCCCTGACCTACAAAGACTTCCAAAGATACACAGGTGCACAGATACACATGCATACATACAGTGTATCAGTGAAGAAATGAACCATGACTGCAGGCAATACAGATACAGCGTAATAATAGCTTTATCTCACCTACAGTTGCTTGAATATAGGGTTTGTAAGTAGTTCCACTCAGAATTGATGCACTGAAAACTAATTAGAGCTTGTGTTTCTCTGACAGTCTCTAATTTTAACTCTTGAAATGTTTGGGTGATGGGAGCAGTATCAGGTTCTATAAAAATAGGACTGGCACATCTCGGTGTGGTCTGGTGAAGAGCAATTTGCCAAAAATAAGTATTGCCAGAACTTAGACATTAGGTTAGAACAGGAAATAGTAAAAAGCAGGGGGTTTAACTCTGAGCCAGCAAAATTATATACCTATATAAAATATTAAATGTACCAAACTTGGTGTGATAGTGTCCAAAGTTGTGACGCCTACATATTCCAGAGAAACAGGGCAGATGAGTGCACTGACCATAGTATGAGTTCCCCAGCCCTCTTGAAAGACAAGAAGCCTAAGACAATCTCAAGAGCATGCATACCAACGCATGTAGTCTGGGCAACAGGAGCAACTGGTGCTCTATGCCTGTTCTCCAATCTGAGAACCATGATATCATAGGAATCACAGAAACTTGGTGGGAAAAATCATATGACTGGAAGACCACAGTGCACAGTGCATACAGTCTTTTGCAAAGACAGGAAAGGAAGGATAGGAAGTGGAGTTGCACTTTGCATGAAAGAAATGTGTGTGGTAGGTAAGCTACAGAGACCATGAAAGTTCTAATGAATGCCTTTATATCATGATTAGAGAGATCGTCAGCAAGGTTGATCTAACATTAGGTATCTGTTACCTCTCAGTCAGGATTATAGGATCAAAATGATTTGGGCTGGAAGAGACTTTAAAGATCATCTAGTTGCAACCCTCATAACATGAGCAGGGACACCTTCCACTAGATGAGGTTGCCATCTATCCTGGTTCTGAACAGTTCCAGAGATGGGACTTCTCTGGACAACTTATTTCAGCATGTCATCATCCTTATAGTAAACAATTTCTTCCTTATATATAATCTATATCTATTCACTTTTAATTTAAAGCCATTATTAGCCTTTTTTCTATCACTACATTTCTTAAAGTCCAATTCCACTTTCTTATAGGCTTCCTTTAGGTACTGAACAGCCACTTTAATATCTCCAGCCTTCTCAAGACTAAAGAACCCCAGATCTCAACCTCACTTCATAGGATGTGTTCCATTACTCTGATCTCCTTTGTGGCCCTGCTCTGGACTTACTTCAACTGGTCTGTGCTTTTCTTATGCTGAGAGCCCCAGAGTTAAAAGTGGTACTCCAGGTAGGATTTCATGAAAGTGGAGTGAAGGTGCAGAATCACCAGCCTGCATTGCGGGTCATGCTTTCTTTTGATGCAGCCCAGGATATAGCTGTTTTTCTGGGCTGCAGTCACGTATTGCCATCTCATGTTGAGTTTTTCATCAACATTCCAAAGTCCTTCTCCTTGGGGTAGAACGTGGTAGTTAATAATTTGTCTAGATGGTCGCATTGTGGTTAATGGCTGGATGTCCAGGTGAAGATCACTGACAAGTGGTATTTCTAAGGGACTGACCATCACTACTTAATACCTCTGTCAGCAATGTGGATGGTGGGATTAAGTACATGCTCAGTGTGTTTGCCAACAGCAGCAGGCTATGTGGTATGATCAACATGCTGGAAGGAGGGCATGCCATCTAGAGGGGCACTGAGTCAACATGAGATGGCAATATGTGACTGCAGCCCAGAAAGGCAACTACAGCCTGGGCCCACTTAAAGCCTATTTTGATGACAGTATGATCCTTCCCAATTACATTATCCTATGCCTGTTCTTCAGCAGCCCTGTCTGTCAGTGCCTCACAGGGCTTCTGGTTACTTTCTGCACACCCTTTCCTTCCTAACTTAAAGCCCTCCTTATGAAGAGAGCCATCATACTGACAAAAAAGTCTTTGTCTCTCTTAGAAAGGAGCATACCATCTCTCCCAAGCAGATGCTAATTTTCTAATAGAAAGATTACCCATTGTGTTACCACTGCTGAAGGAAGAATCCCAACACAAAATCAAAATGTCTAAAAGAGGAGTTATTCTGTTTTGCAAAAGAATTACCAACAGAACTCACTTGATATCTTTTGTAGAGCAAGAAACCAAGTTCCTGGTAACTTACCCTATTACAGCAAATGCTGGCAGCTCTTGCAGATCAAAGGGGAAATCCATGCGAAAGTTAGTTCTGAACAGTGCTGTGATGGTAACTGTGAGAGAAGAAAGAGGTAGAAATGGAAAGGGAATAATGAGGTAAGAAGTTAAATGGCATAAAAGCTGGAAGCAGAGACAGGGGAATTAGTTATATATGTGTCGTATGGTTTCATATTATGTACAATGTTACAGATATGCAGGCTGCTTTAATTTTAGTAATCTCAATTTTTAAATACTTGCAAACCTACCACTACTGATGATATAGGTTTGTTTTCAGAGTATATACACATACATTTTCACCTACAATCCCAGATTTGTACATACTTTTTTTCTTCTACCACCCGTCATCCAGTATTATACTGCATTATTGTAATGCTTTCCATGGAATCCGTTTATCGCCACACCTGCTTGGAACTCTGATAATGTTATCTCAAAGCATTTCTGCAGTAAGATGGCAAGTGCTTGCAGAAGAGTTAGCTGACGTACTCTATATGAATTTGCAATAGCTTAGATGTTCCACATAAACATCACAGGTAGATACGAATTGTGTGCATTAGGGAAGCAGCTCCATCTACTTTCAAGTACAATTAACTACCTCACAAAAAGGCACTGTTACTGAGTGACAATAGTACCCACACAGGAAACTAGTGCAAAGACATTATTTTACCTACTAAGTGCATAACTGCTGAGAGCAGACAAGACTAGAGATTGTGAAGATATCAGAGAGAGATCTGAGAAAAACTGCTGTATGAGCAATGACTGAAAAGACTTGTAACTGTTGTAAGAGAAGGAAATAAGAAAGAAAAGACATGAAAGGTAAGTTACAGCAGGCATGATGAAAGACTGTAAAATAATGAATTACTGGTCTAAACAGGAGTTTCTGATTCTCTAATAAGGGATTCTGGCAACACAAACAGAGCAAATTCAGAATTATGAACAAAAAACCCCGGATTTTTCATAGACAATTGGATCATGGAACATTTTAATCCAGACAGTCACTGAAGCAGAATGTAGTGAGGCATTCACCCCGGTTATTAAAGCTGCTTGGATGATTTTGAAGAAGGGCAGGTTAGATAAGATGTTTTAGGATTAAGCTAATTTCAAATGATTTTAGAGATCAGCAGGGGCCTACAGTAGATGAAGTGAAGGATTGGGGATTATCTCCTGTTATTTGCCTTCTTCTATTTTCCTCTGGAAGGAAGAGAGGCAAGTGTTTTTGTGACGGATCTGATGGTTGAATAACCCATAATATGAGGCAGTGTTTCGCAGGCAAAGATGCAGTTCCCTTTTACATTCAGAGCATAAATTGCCATCACTTTCTACATTCAAAAAGAATATTCAAGGCAAATAATGTTCTAGCACAATAAAATCCAATTCTGTGATGTCAAGAGAGAGTAAATTACAGCAATTTTAGAATGGGAAGAGCCCATGTGGAACTCAGATCAGTAAAATAAATAAAAGTGCAAGAACGAAGGATAAAGGCATTATAAGCAAGAAATTTACCTATGAATGGCAATCTTCTCTATCAACTGGAATCTCATTCCGGCAGTATCTGAATTGATTTCTTGAACACACCTGGTCTATGCTATTTCTGCCTGCACACATTTCAGTTGAAATGGTGTTTTTGTTTATTTGTTTTTTGTTTGTTTGTTTTTTAGTTGGTTGGTTTCTTCTTTTTCTATCAGAGCTGCAGTTTCGGTCCTCAGGACCTTCAGTCAGACCCAACCAGTTTCACAGCCTCCTAATCATTTCATCACCTCAGTTTTCTAGACTACTGCTTGTATCGTGTGCATCTAGCCAAGAGATGACCAAACCAGGCTGTGGTGTTTCCAGTGAACTGCATGCATTGCAATATGCATTACCCAGTTTGTGGTGGGATATGTTTATATTTGCGGTCATGACATTATGCTGACTAAAGGCAAAAATCCCACCTCGGGACACTTCTTACTTGATTGGTACTCATACACAGTCTTTTTTCAGTCATATTCTGAAGAACTGGGATAAGTTGTGTTACACATTTAGTGATAGAAGATGCTTCCTTTTCTCTTTTCTTCTATGCTGTTAGATGTTCAATGTTTCAGTGTCATGGCAGAAGTCTCAAACATCCTGAAAGTTGAGGGCTTTGAGAAAGATGGAGAAAAAAAAAATAAAGGACATTTGTACAAAGACAACAGGAATGATTTTAGCTTACCTGCATCCTTGTTCCAAACAGCAAGGACTCGGAAAATGAAGGCACTAAAGGTAGCTGCAAAGAAACCTCTCCAATAATTACGCACAGCAAAGTAAGTGGAAGTGACTTCAATGCTGAAAAGGACCCCTAAAAAGAGTTAGAAAAGGAGTAAAGTTAAAAACAGAATTGTAGTGACAGAAGGACAAGAAATACTTCTAAATAGTCTTCTAAAGCAGTGATCTCAAAACTTCTTTGATTGTGTACCCCTGTACCCCACTGGTAAAATATGTTTTGATTGTGTACATTTGTAAATCGTAGATGTGCAATACTGTACTAGTGCACTGGGTACATTATAAAGCACACACGAAAATAAAAACAATCAGATGATAACACGAGGAACATTCTATGATCCATTTATTTTATTAATTGTACAAAAAATTACTGTTCTCACGAAAAATATTATTATTAATATTTGTTCTTATTTTTGAAAATCATGGTTTAATTAGTTATACAACTTGCAGTTGTAAGTTCAGTTTATATCCATATATAGTTTTAATGGCTATCAGAGTTGAAAAAGAGCCCTCACAAAGCCTGAAATGGGAGAAGCATAACTCTGGCTGCACTTACTAAATTAAAAAAAAAAAAAAGTCTATATATAAATATATATTTTTGTATCTTTAACGAGTGTGTTCCAAACCCACTGAAAATTTTCCTTTGGAAGGTTTTTCAGTGGATTAGAAAACTCTTACAAGCTTTTCAAGTGTACAGATGAGAGAGGTTTTATAAATGACACACAGTGTTTTCAGCAAGAAAATCATGAAATCTCCACAGCACAGCATCCCTCTGAAAAAGCATGTACTTTCTCACTCAGTGTTAAAATGGCACTTTCACCTCATAGGGACAGATTATGTGCTTCTGTTTTTAAAAGCATTTGCTGGGTAGCATATTGCTGTCAGCCACTTGTCATGACAGAAAAGATCAGGAAATTCAGAACACCTTTCTGTAAAAGAAAAATACTCAACTCATCTTTAAATTAGACAATTCTTTTAAGTCCTTTGCCATGAGATAACCTCTGAACTGCTGTGTGGTACAGATGATTTCCATGGTCATTCCTCACCTCACTACAGACTATTATAAATACCCTACTGTCTTAAGATTTTGTTTTTATGAAATTAACTACATCAGTGTTATCCTGTTGCACTTTGTGCACTTCTGGCACTCCCTTTTTTGCTGCAATATCTTGCTTCCGAGCCATGCAGCCAATGATTTTCATGTGCCAGTGCTGCTCCTGGTATAATTACACAAGAATCCTTTTCCAGGCAATGACACTGCACCATTAGTTGTTACAATTGCACTGCTTTTCAATAAACCATTGCTTTTATGAAAGAAGTCATTTACTGTTGAGAATATATCTTCTCTGGTAGGTCTTTCCTTCATGTATTTCACTACTGAAACAGAATCTAGCAAATACCAGAAGACAGGATAGAAACATCTGTACTTTCATCCATTCAGCTGGGTAAGCTGAAATACTTTGCAATACACTGAAAGGAGATGAACAAGTGAGGGCTCTACTATCAACTGTCTGTGTGATGGGACAACCAACCTTCATCCAGAACACCTCACAAACTGCACGTGACATGTGTACCAAGTGAAGGCATCAGTGCCAGTGTCACTGGCAAACCTTAATTTCTTTCTTATTTATTTATAGATAGAAAACAAGTATAAGTAGACAGTCCAGCATTTTCTTCCCACAATGTAGTAGATTGTTTTGCAGACCTCCTGAGATGTGCACACCCTCAGTATGGAAACAACTGTTCAGAAAAGCCATCACTTCATGCCCTTCAGAAAGATGACAGGTAAAAGAAAGTCTGTGTAAGAGGAGGTTGGAGATTGGTGGCACTAAAGGCAAGCTTCTTTGTTTTAGGTATATGACAGATCAAATATAGGGTGCAGGAAATGGAGAAATGAGAAGTGGACTAGGCAGGAGATGATTTAGGTACCTGAGAAAAAGGAAACAGAACAGCCACTTGCCTCCAAGTGGTGTCCCAAAGCAGCAGCCAACACCCACAGCACAACCCACAGTCAGGACATCCGTGTAATAGTATGGCTGCTACTGGTAGAAGAGACAGAAAGAGACAAACAGAAACAAAGAAAAAAAGCAATGAATGACAGAATTAGCAGGTATGGCCACATACTGTCACCCAGCTCTGTCACTCAGCTCTGTCACTAATCTTACATCATCTACATTCTGGATGGCTGCAAAACATTCAGACAGATTCTATGTGGTACAAGACAGGAATACACTTGGAGTTGCATATTCAAGACATGAAGAGAAGGCAGCAATTTATCTTTCACTGAAACACACACATTTCTGTTGCTTCAGAAAGAATGTTTCATAAGAGGATCTTCAGAGCATGGAGCACACACGTGTGTTTCACTCTCTTTTACTTTGGTAGGGAATTTCAGGTTGCACATGCCCCGGAATGTTTCAGAAGAGAAACACTCTCTGAGTTTGCATACAAAAGGCACAGGTTTATCCAGAACAGAGTATGGACAACGGCTGGAGAATGAGTGGGAAACAGGTTACCTATTAAAAGATTGTGCTCTCCTGGTTAAATCACTAAATTTGCAAGTTTATAAGCAATCACTGGGACAGTTTTGGAGAACATGGAAAGAGAGAGAGGGTCTTCTTCCACTCTCTAAGACTTGGAAGAGCAGTTGAAGGCCCTGACATGCCTGAGAATGATGTTGACCCTTATGGAGCAGATGGGTTTTGTTTCATGTTAACTAAATACTAGGTAGTGTCTAATATAAAGAACAACATGGTTAACACCTGTGTATTTGCTACTTTCTGCTATTACGTGTTCCTGAAGCAGTCTGTTATGACTTCCATGAGAGCTGACTTTTGAGAAAGGGTGTACATGGGCATTCTGAGCAGCCAGGGAGAATTCCAAGGGCAAAGGCAATGAATTCCTACTTACCTGAGAAAGTATTTGATAGAGCCTCAAAGAAGAGGTTTGTCAAGGCTATGGCTGCACAGCCCAACAAAAAAAAGAGCCATACATTACTCTCTGACCCATAAGAGTCTTTCCACATTCACAGATTTGCCTTAGGTCACCTTTGAGTCCTACTAATGCTTATGTGGCCTTAAACATCATCGTGTCCAGAATGGGAGTGAGTTTCAATTCAATGTCTGGGACAGTGTGTGGGTTATGTTATAGCCCTTCAGGACAGCTTGTAACAAAGGGTACATATTACATGGTCTGCAGTATAGCAAGAGTTAAGTAGAGCTGTTTGAAAGTGCAAAAAGCCTGTTGAAACAGTGAAGTAACAGTAAAAGATGGCAAGAATCAAGCATGACATGGTATTACTCATTCCACCCACAGAGAACAGTCCATGGCATATGGCATCCCCCAGAGTGTGTGAGTGCCAATGCTATTTAATTTAGGAGTAGCCAGAGAGGCTAAAACAAGCAGACAAACAAAGAGTACCAGAGCGCACTCAGAAAAAGCAGAGCTGGGCATCTTTTGCTTGTAAAAGGCAAACTGGTTCTTCAAACACATTTTGAGGGATCCTCACTAAATACACAGGGTGGTGTTTACCAGCAACAACCTTAAAAAATTATAGTTGCAAATTATAACCTGGACTTAGGTCCAGGGAACAGAATTCTACAATTTGGTGTGATTCTGCAAGAGGAAATCAACTAGAGCTGTAAAAATTATGATAACTTTCAATTCATTCTTACACTACAATGCTGTCACAGAGTCACAGCAAGTTTTTGCCTGGAAGGTATCCCCTTTTCCAGTTCCCTGCACAGAGTTGCACTACCTCCAAGGCTCAAGCAGGGTGCTCAGGATCTTGTCCAAGTGAGTCCTTAACGTTTCTATGGGTGGAGATTCTCCAGGTTCTCCGAGCATCTGTACAATTACTGAACCACCTTTGGAAAAGGGGAGTAACTTCCTTATAAAAAATTACAATTTCCCTTATCACAAGTTGTGTCCTTGCCTCTTCCACTGAGCCCCTCTGAAAACAGCCTGACTTTATCTCCTCCAAAATCCCCTAGGTGGCTGATGGCACCAGCTAGACATCTCCCATTAGCTATTCCTCCTTTACAATGAGCAAGCTCAGATTCCTCTACCTCTCCTCATACGTCATTCCAGCCCCCCAACCATCTTCCTGGCCCTGCAACACTTCTTTTACATGGGGAATGCAAAATTTTACACACTGGTATTTCTGTTCTCCAGTCCAATACTGAAGGCATAAATACAGCAGATTCTTTGTTCATCACTCCTGGTCATCCTTGTCATCATCTCCTGCCATTAGATGATTACTTTTTTTTTTTTAACTTCTCTATATTTATTGATTTGCTGGACAGACCTTAGGACTCCCAGAGAGAGAGAACAATGAACAATTTTCATGGTAGGAAGAGACTGAGCGAGATACATTGTTAGAAAAGTTGAAGTTGTTGCTTTAGAATTTTGCACTCAAAAGCTGTCAATTTTCCTTTGGCTTTTCCAAGATTATCCTTTCCCTTTCTTTCAATGCCACTAGCTACATAATTAAAGGAAGAACTCATGATGCTAAATAAGTCGAGAGACATCTCTGGGGAACCTGCTTGAGAGCAGGAGGTCTCACAGCAAGAGGTGGAGTTTTACATTAAAAGTCACAGACAGGAAGTCACTTGCCTCCAAGAAGAGCCCCGAAGCAACATCCAGCTCCAACTGAGCAAGCCATCACCAGGAGGCCGAGCTGCCTGTGCTCTTTCTGGAACAGAGAGGGCAGCCAGAGAAAGGCATGCTGTGGTTAGAGGGAGCAAAGCCAAAGTGTTAGGGTCCAGAAGAACAAAACAAAGCAACAGCCAATTGCAGATTCAGCCACTGCTATCACAAATAACAGGCTCTACACACTTTAGCACAGTTTTTAGTACACTCAGCCTACAGTAGCGAGATTTGATCCTTATGCATATACAGGATCAAGTGAAACAGCACCTCTATTGTTGTATTACAGCTACTGTTAGGAGTTTGTAAAGCAGTTTCTACACACAGCTTATATATGTGGTTAATAGCGACTGTGTTGTTTTTGGGTTATTTTTTCCCGACCACAATTTGTCAATACATCAATCAGCCGGCAGAGGCCGTTTTGCAACAGCAAAAGCCCAGAGGCAGAGTCAGTGGCTATAATTAGTAATGTTCTACATCCTACCTTAAAGACAAATTGATCTTTATCCACAGCTATTTAAGGTTTGCTTTTTGTTTTGTTTTGTTTTTTGTTTTTTTTTTTTTCCCCACACAGACATTGATCACAGTGCAAAGGAATTGGAACTGTGAGACAGAGAACTTGTGAAATGCGTGTTCTTAACCATTGTCTGTGTCACAATTGATTCTGCGTGGTTCTTCAGTTGTACATCTGGTGTTCTACTACAATTTTCTTTGGCCAGTATCTTTCTGCTTTAGAAAAGCATAGTGAACTTCAGTCTGTATATTCCGTCTGTGTGCAGCCTATCAATGTGTCTTAACAGTTCAGCCTGTGGAAGAACTGACTGCCAGAGACACGTGCCTTACCTCGTATACACCACAGAAAATTGACATAAACTTGCTGAGCACTGCAGCACAGATACTGGCAATATGCACAAAAGGGCCCTGCAAGAAAACAGGAGGAAACAAATTAGAAAGAGCTAATTTTTTTTTTTTCTACAAAGGCAGCTCCAAAAGTAATTCCTTGGTGTGGCAGTAGAGGTTGAACCTTGCAGTTGGGGGGGGAGAAAACCTAATGAGATTCAACAAGGACAAGTGCAGAGTGCTACACCTGGGGAGAAATAATTGCATGGATCAGTACAGGTTAGGGTCTGATCTACTGGAGAGGAGCTCTGCAGAGAAGGACCTGGGTGCCCAGGTAAACAACAGGTTGGCTATGAGCCAGCATTGTACCATTGTGGCCAAGAAGGCCAACGGTGTCTTGGACTGTACTAAGAGCATGGCCAGCAGGTTGAGGGAAATGATCCTCCCTGTCTACTCTGCCCTGGTGAGGCCACATTTGGAATTCAGTGTCCAGTTCTGGGCTCCGCAGTTTGAGGTCAGGGAATTTCTAGAGAGAATGCAGTGGAGGGCCATAAGGATTATTAGGGGCCTGGAGCATCTCCCTTATGACAAGAGGCTGAGATCTAGGACTGTTCAACCTGGAGAAGACTGAGGGAAGTCTTATCGTCAACACTTACCAATATCTAATGAGTGCAAGTCAGCTGGATATGGCGAGGCACTTTTCAGCTGTGCTCAGTAACAGAACAAGGGGCACTGGGCACAAACTGGAACATAGGAAGTTCCATGTGAACATGAGGAAAAGACATTTACTTTGAGAGTTACAGAGCACTGGAACAAGCTGCCCAGGGATGCTGTGGAGCCTTCTCTGGAGATGTTCAAAACTCATCTGGATAGTTTTCTATGTAACCTACTGTAGGGAACTTGTTTTAGCAAGGGGTTTGGACTAGATGATCTCCAAAAGACCCTTACAACTCCTATGACTGTGATTCTTTGATTCCCACCAGTATTCTATGAAATTTTGTTGTCGTATGACAGAGGGGCAGTCTGACAAAATGGCATCTGACATGGATGTGTGTATGAAGCGCAAATGTGGAACTGAATTCCTCCATGTGGGAAAAATGGCACCGATTGATCATTGATGTTTGCTGAATGTTGATGGAAACCGAGCATGGGATGTGAGCACAATGAAGCTGTGGGTGGTGTTTCAGCAGAGGAGACAGTGACATGCAAGACAAGCCACGTTCTGGATGTCCATGAAGATTTTTAACAAGCGTGGCATGCAGGCTCTTGTTCATTGCTGGTGAAAATGCATAGCTAACGGTGATGACTATGTTGACAAATAACATATTGTAGCTGAGAATTTGCTCTGTCAAACAGTGTTATTGTGCTCTTTGTAGCTGCTTTTGTTTCCATAGAAATAAATTGGTTGTGTTACTTTCAGAGCTACCTACGTATATCAAGCTTTTCAAAGTAGAAGAAAATGTTTAGTGGAAGATAAGTGCTGCTGGGAAAAACAGAGCTTTGACAAGAGGAATGGGGTCAAGGAAAAGGAAACATTTAAAGACTCTTGCATAGACAACTCCTTCCTAGACCCTGGCTGCTACTTCACATGAACATAGCAATATTTACCTCTTTCCCTACAGGCATGCCACTTCCAAGCCCTGCTGTGAGGCCCACAACTTTGGCCACAAATGCTTGGAGAGTGAGATATTCCTTGAGGACCACTCCCCTCATAATTGTCTTGAGTTCTGGGATCCCAGACCCTGAAAACAACAACAGAACAGAGGATATAGAAAACCCAAAGGCAAGAAGAATAAGAAAAAAGAGACAGACGGAAACAGATCTTGCCATGCCTTCTACCCTCACCAACAGCCTGTGGAGAGACGAGGTGGCAGAAGACGGCTGCAAACAGTATGAGAACAAGTGGGTATGATACCCACACCAGATACTGCAAAGGAACATTCGGGTGCAGCTCTCTGTACATCCACTTGTAGGCTGTAAACAAAGAAAGAAGTTGTCAGTAACCACAGATGCTCCAATCAGTTTAGTAAACTTTAAAGAATCACAAACAAAAGCCCACACCTGCCCCTACTAAATCTCCCTGAGAAAAGCTATCTAAAAGTCCTAATTTTCTAAGACAAATAGGGTAAAACCTTGTTTCATTTAAAGTACAAAATCTCAAGTAATATATGCATTCTGCAGGAATGGATACAAGCGATCCTCTGCTATCAGACATCATTAATACCCATGCTGTAATGTGGCATTGGAAGAGCTGTATTACTTTCACTTGCAAGGGTGAATTTCTGTGCAGGACCTTTTCATTTAGCAGCTGGAGGGTGTTATATGGGCCCTGAAGGACAGCAAAGTTAATGTCCTCTCCTCCATTTCAACCACATGAAAAACAGTTCCTTCAGAAAAACTACCTCAGAAGCCCTGCTTACAATTTGATTTCTAGAACAGCAGCATGAAGGGAGAGGTGCCAGCTGTTACAACATGGGCCTTGTGCATGCAAACTCAGAGGGTGTTCCTTTTTTAGACGTTCTCTGGCACACATGCAAGCTGAGATTCCTTGCCAAAATGAAAGAGATGGAGTAAAATATACATGTGTGCTCCTAAGAATTTTGCATAAATCATTTCTTCTGAAGTGCAATTAACAGCATGTTGGCAATGATGCATGTATTTGTGTGCATGGGGATGGGAGGCAAGGCCACTGAAAGATTTTGTAATTTTTAAAGCTGGAAAAGGGTGTGGGAACCAGAGGAATGCTGTAGAGAAGTGACATAAAGCAAGTGATTGTGAGATCGTTGTTAAAAAAAAAAGTTTAAGTAAAGAGCACTATAGTTCCATGCAGCAGAAAACACCAGAGAACTGTATAAATAAAATAATAATGAGGATAAAGGCAGAGAGAACTGTATCAAGAGAGCATCAAAGAGCCCTTTCCTGTCCCCACCCACCATATGCTCAACAGATCTGGAGAGGATGGCACACTGTATAATAGGAAGGGCCGAAGTCACACAGTGTTCCCTAACGCATAAGAATCCTTCAAGAGAAGGATTGAAAGTGAGTAAAAGTAATGGCTTATCTTTGAATGGTACGCACGTCCTTTGCTCCCTGCCCACTTAGAAATATTTCCCTATCACTCCTTTAAAGAACCTTTTCTTAGTTAACCTTCTCTCTACTGTGTTTGCAAGTCTTCCTGAGGTATCAACGATATTAAAGGAAGAGGAATGTTGGTCACTGGGCTTTGTAAAAATATTTATAACATTTACAGTATGCTTTTGCAACACCTGAATGAGACCCACCCTGTAGACTCTTTGCACTGGCATAATCCATTCCCCAGCTCACCAACGCCATGACCAAACCCAACAGAACCAAGAAAATCCAGTCTTCTCCAAGTTTCCTGGTGACATATTTCTGGATGCGTCTAGCACAGTCTGTGGAGAGAAAAGAGAACCAGAAAAATGGAGACAACATAGATGAAATCTGTGCTTCTGTGTTGAGAACTGACCATCAAAAGAATGTATTTGAAAGAATTATGGACTTAGTGTTGAAGGTCTGAGACCCACCCCTTCCTTGCAGTCTTTCAAAATTCTTTGAAGTTTCAAAATAAAATGAAGGGACAAGATAATTTAACCTCTTGTGCACTAGCAGCAAAAATATCTTCCCTCCTGTTATAGAGATCTGTTGTGGAAAAAAAAAATAATAACTTGGGAGCAGTTATTCCTACAGGTAGCATGCAAACACCTTTTAAAATCAAGATGGCTCCTCATTCCTTCTCTACTTCTCCCCTGTCAAAGTCTCCTTGTCATTTTGTCTTGCTTAAATTCCAATCTCTTTGACTGTTCTACCCAATATCTGGTCACAGGGTAAGCAAGGATAAATGATTCCTACCTTGGCATTTGGAATAGCGCTCTTCTTTTATCTCTACTTGACTCTCACGTTTCAGGGGTCTTTCGTTGTTCTTTTGGGCCTGCTTTGTATTCAGTAGTTTTGCTGCTTCCTTCTCAGCAAAGTCAGTTATCTGGTCTGTGTATTGTCCATAAAGCTGGAGGAGCAGAAAGCAAGAGAGAGCAAAATGAAGATGGAAGGCAAATATTCCTTCACAAGTATTGTTAAAAATGAAAAGGCATATTTACTAACAGTAAGAGGTGCAGTCAGACGTATTCAAGCAAGGAGACAGACACAAAGACTCAGACAGAGGCAATTCATTATTTTTTTCCTTTTCCTTCCTGGTTCTCTTTTCCCAGTCTCACTAAAATCTTTGCATCTTCTTTTGGGTGTACAAGCTACGGTAACAGAATGCTAACTGCTTTTTAAGATCCTCAGAATGAGCAGGCTCAGGTCTGAAGGCGAAAGATTGGGCAGGCTTTTTGGAAGTACAAAAGAAGGTCAGAACTGTTCACATGAGGCTGCCAGTCTTAGGGCTGTCTTCAGCAGCACTGCAAAACAACTCTTAAAATTTAGAGAGGTATCACACTACTAAATAGGTTGCAGGAATGCCCTGCATCTGTTCACTCTGCTGCCAAGGAATGCTTAATAGGGTATGCAGCCACTGGTGGTGTCTTGAGTGGAAAAGAAGAAGCATCAGCTCACAAATAGCAGAGGTACCACATAGCACCTCCCGTTATCTACCCAAAGCATTCTAGTAAATCCCCACATATCTCTAATTCATCCGATTTTTTTTTTAATTACCTAATCTAGCCCTTGTTATCAGATACTAATCTTGAAAACATTTGATATTATGCAATTCACAAGCAGCTACATGAGCTTGCCAACAATGTTGCTCACATGGATCAGTGATAAAACTGTCAGTTGTGCCAGCTTGTCAAAAAGGAGTTCTCAAGGAAGCTGGGAGGATCCTGACTGTGTCCATCAGGTTCCCCCACAAGTAGCTATTCTCCCTCATTTTTTCATGGTATATATGGGGAAGATGTGAATTTGAGAAGCTGTGAACAGATCTCTTCCCTTCACTTCTATCTACAAACTATGACTTTACATCAGTTGCCTGCCTGATGCTGAGCCTGTGATCTTGGCAATTCCCACTTGCTAGAACCTGCTTTCTCCTAGCACAATACCTACTTCTCTAAGATACTTTAAGTGGCAAGAGGGAGTCAGCAAAAGGTCAGACGCTTCAGCTGGAGAAAGAAAAGACATTTGAGATACAGACCTCTATCATGAGCTTAGGAGACAACTCTACCTGACAGCTTTACTTCTCCTCTTTTCTAAGAGACACAGGAGATATTGCTCCTGTACCCTTGCAGTTTCCATTAACTGAAACATCATCAGTAGAATGGCAATAAAGCAAATAACTTATTTGTAAGAGAATTTGAGATCAGATAGATTTGGAGATTCACAGAAGGTTGAACTCCAGAAAGCACCTCTGGGGGGTGTCTCTTCCAATTTCTCTTTCCAAGTTTCTCCTAGCTCACACTATGCTAATTTCAAGGCCAACCAGGATGCTCAGAGCATTGTATGGGCAAGTCCTAGTCATCTTCAGGGACAGAAATTTCCCAGCTTCTCTGAACAGCCATTTCAGTGTCAAAGCAAGTTATATTTCCAGTTGCAAAATGTGACTGAGTCCTAAGTAGTTTATTTGCCTGTATTCCTAAGACACTTGAACTATGTGCAATGGCCCCCTTTAAAATCTCTATTATATTTTCACATATTTTCACAGAACATGCATGTAGGCTTTTAAATCATTCTGTTCGTATGATGACTTGCCTTCCATCTCTGAAACAAATTGATCCCACCTGAATATCTAAACCTATTCTTCCATCCACCCATCTCTGCACTGGAAGATTATATTTTATTTAATTACTAACCCCATTATTATCACCAGAGTCTAGCCAAATTAATTGATACATACTCTTAGCAGTGAAGAGTGGCCATGCTCTGATCTCCATAATACAGACAGGATGGTGAAACATAAAGATGAAGGACCTGCCAGACTTTGTATAGGTTATCACATATAAAATCCAATAGCAAATAGCAGATTAATCCCTGTTTCTCTCACTGTATCTATTTCAGGCAGCAATGCCAAGCACCAACAGATTTTAGATAAATGCACCTTCATATCACCTCAGCTAATTTTTCATTGCCTTTACATGCTCATGAGGAATTGTTTTATATCAAATGGAGCTTAATCCAAACTATGAACTTAATCCAAATTATGAACTACCTTCTCAACCATCTTGTTCAAATTAAAGTCCTCCATCTATTCAGATGGAAAAGTTCATGGTTTGTATCTGACTGGAAAAATATGAAATCAGGATGTGAAAGAAAAAAGAACTAGTCTCAGGACATAACGATGTCCTGGAGGACAAATTGGTCTCAACTCACTTAAATAACGCTTCATACACATGCTTTATTTCTCTGGGACTCTGGCACTGCTTCAATTTATATTCAGTAATAGTAAGACAGAGAAAGATTAAAAAAAAAATCAGAGGATGACCTCATGGAAAAAATGCTAGGCAAGAAAATATCCTTTCCATTAGAATGCAGGTAAAACTAAAACCAAAACACTGTAGTGCTTACACTGTTGTATTCTTTTGATACTACCTCTTTCTGAGCAACACAAAAGCTGAAGAGAATTTTAAAATATATCATCACTTAAAGAGTTGAGACAGAAAAAGGTATTATTATGTCCAGCTTGGCTAAATTCTGAATGAGAACACGGTAACAGTGTAAAAACCAATGAATGTATAAATACTGTTAAGGATGCTGCATGTGGAAGTGGGAGGAACATTGCTGTTTAATGGACGAAAAGTTTTCAAGAAAGTTCTCACAACCTCAAGCCTTTTCTGATAGCTATTCTGATGCTGATCATCTACTTAAATCTTCACTCCTCTCTCTGTCCATACCCTAAGTTATTTCCCATGCCATTCAGATTCTGCAATTATTCTCCACAACAAACTCTAGTCATGAAATCCCTTCCTCCAGCACCACCAGTGCACGTTGCTGCTCCTGGCCATTGAATCTGCTGTGGGCTCTGCAGACTGCTCATCCCTTCCACTCCTACCTTGGAGACATGCTGTTGTTCCTGAAATTACCTTCCATAGTACAAAGTCTAGTCTCAACTGCTTATGCATAGAGCTAATGAGACACGTGTGACAGACAGGGATCAGCTCCAAAATAAGAGTTGTCCCCAAAGAAATAAAGGCAAAGGGGAGATCTAATAGCAGTACTCTCTACCTGTGGGGAGTGAGAGGGCTGGAGAGAAAAAAGAGCCTGACTTCTCAGAAAGGCACAGTGAAGGACAGGAGAAAAAAGGCAAAACTTGCAACAAAAGTATGTTCGAATGTGTAGAAAGAAAACCTGAGGGTAATTCAGCATAGGAACAGGTGCCCAGATGGGCTAAGCATCTTCATACTTGGGGATACTCAGTACTCACTTGGATAAATCCTGTGAACAAGGCATTGGGCTAGAGAACTCTAGAGGCCCTCTCAAGTCTCTCTTTGAGTCTGTTACTCTCTAATACTGCATTGCCCAATTAATTATTACACTGCGTTACTGTGGCACCCATCTGTGTACTGCTGCTGGAGCTCTCTGCCATGAATACCCTTTCCTACCTCACAAATGCTGTATCATATAAACACTTCATCAGTCTGATCTGCTTGAGGAAAGGTTCTTATTTTTTCGTGCAGGAAGATAAAAACACAGAAACCCACAATTCAGAAGAACATAAATTTTATAAATCTATTTTCTGATACATCTCTACTGTTATAAGTATTTGGGCTGTGTGAGAAACAATCACTTGAGGTTTTTTTTCCTAGCGTTTCTGTGAAGTGCTGACATTACTGAACTTAAAGGGAGAGCAAAAATCTCTTCAAGATATCATTCTAAATGGTAGATAAAATCTCTAGTCTCTAAGTCAAAAGCTTACAAGAGAGACAGGGACTGACTTTTACACTGATAGTGATAGGAGCAGGGGGAACGGCTTTAAACTAAAAGATGGGAGGTTTAGGTTAGATGGTAGGCAGAAAATTTTTACTTAGAGAGAGGTTATGGTGGAACAGATTTCCCAGAGAAATAGTGGAACATTTCATCCTCCCAGGATGGCATTCAAGGCCAGCTCAGGCCCTGGGCAGCCTGGTCTGGTGGGTGGCAACTCTGCTTGTGGCAGGGGGTTGGAACTGGGTGACCTTTAAGGTCCTCTCCAACCTAAGCCATTCTATGATTCTATGATACAGTTATCCCAATTCTCACAAATTAAGTACACATTATTATCTATTTTTATTACATTATCTATTATCTAATATATTAACTATGTATTATTAGAGAATCCCAGGCCAACGATCAAATTTTTTGCCTTGTAAAATCATGTATTCTGTCTGAAATAGCTTCCAACTTACATATAAAATAGAAAGGAACAGCTAGCACAAGAAATTGCACAACAGAACTAAAACATCTACCTGTTTTTTTCACATCACAGCGGTAAGTATTCTGCGTGGAAACAGATGAAAGCACGTGCAGCAGATTGTTTATCATGCCAATAGCATAAACGTGCATGCCTGTACAAGATGTGTGTGATAGTATGAATGTTTATAATTTATCTCCATGTTAATTAATGGCTATCAAAATACACATGCACAGCAAGACTAGTTTTACAACAACATGCCTTCATATTAGATATGTAACTATGTGATTTTTACATAACAGCATTTCTAGGGCATATTTGCAGTAGATCTATAAATATGACTGTCTGTTTTCAAGACTGAAAACTGCATTCACAAATGCATATTTGCTTGGGGATGTTACTGCCTGATGACTTGTATGGGAATGCATCTGATGTCCTGCTTGTTTGTGCTGGATTTTGGCTACACTCATTGACTGGCAGGCCTGTGGGGATGAAAACAAAGACACCCCAGGGCCAGGCAGCAAGAGATAGGTTTTTCTGCCTCACTGTGTCAACTATGTCACCTTCTAAGAGAGGTTTCATCCATGTGGGAATAGTCTGCAGAGTGGATACATTTAAACTGGTATATTTTTTTTTGTATCCCAACTGACTAATGGTTCATGTAACACAATGTGCATTTCCATTTGCAT